CAAAAGGTGACGGATGATATCGTGGTTGTTCACCGTATTGCATCGGTGGCGTCGGATCTGTCCGACCGTGAATTTATCTCTGTAGCATTCCGATTGCGTGATGGTGATGACTACTATATCGGACTAAAATCCATCACGGTTCAGACTGAGGCTGCTGAGAACTGCATCCGAGGCGAGGAATGCCAGGGGTGGATGTTTATTGGTGGGGAAAATGAGACGTCTCAATGGAAGGCTCACTTTTTGGGCTACTATGACGTCAAGGGCGAGAAGGACGACAAGGTGCTGAACCAGCTAGCTAATGAGGCGATGTTTGGTATGCTCCGATGGGAGAGCGAGGCCATGCACCCGCTCAGCGTATAGGCCACGTATCAGCCTGCTTCGCAGGACTTCGCTTCGGCAATACATCGACACGGCATCAAAACCGCTGCGTCAGACGTAATATCTGTATGCATGTCTAAAAGTATGCTCACTGGAAGCCGCTTCAGTCGAGCAGATACATATTCTAGTAACAGAAACAGATTGCATCGCGGCAACAAGCTTTTCTCTCAATATACCCACGTCAAAGTATCAAGCGAGTTACAAAAGGTGGTCTTTTAACATGACTACAAAATAGCAATCGAGTTGTGTACTTCAAAGCGATCGCGCTGTAAGTATGCGCCGTACTGAAGTACATGTAGTGGTGTAGCTATGTCCATCAGATGGCTACATTACTAACAGCACGTGATTTCCACCACTCATTGGCTAATTGATCATGTTTTTCACCAATCAATCGCGAGTCTAGGCATAATTCCCACCCATTTTTGAACTGTCGGCGTAGGGAGGAGATGTCGACGCACTCGGCCGCTTCGGGCGGCTCTGGGGCCAGGAAGATGACGCCATGCTCGTTCTTCGCGGCGGGCAAGTGCCGCAACGGGAATGATTGCAAATTCTTCCACGCAACACGTGAGGACTTGGCACTTAGTCCGCTGCCTTGCAAGTTTTTCTTGCGTGGCACATGCACAGCTGGACGTGAGTGCAAATTCTCGCACACGGCGGAGGCGCAAGCGGCTGCCACGCGCGTGAGTGCTAGTACGGGCGAGAAGACAATGAAGCCGGGATCCTACGGCGTTCCGTGCAAGTTTTTCAAGTATGGCGACTGCTCCAATGGAGATAAATGCCCATACTTGCACAATAAGAAGATGGAGGAAGGAGAACACAAGGATACGGCAAAGGTCGTGACCGAGGGAACTTCTACGCCGGATAAACAGCCAGATGAGGAGGAGAAGGTGGCCAGTCCTGTGGCTGATGCTTCGAGCGAAGAGCTGGATGACCAGGAGAAAGAGGAAGACGTGACGGAGCTCAAGGACTTCATCTCTAAGGAGGAAGGTCTGTTGCTGTATTTTCGTGCTGGAGAGTTTGGTGATATTACATACTTATTTTTGCTTTACCATTTCAGAACTATATTATTACGGAGCTCCGGGAGAGTTTGAAGATGCGGCTGCTGAGTCTGCACCCCCGATGCCAACGCAGTCGTACGTGGAGGTGACCAAGAAGAACGTGAAGGACAGACCGCTGTCATTTGATGAAGAGCGCCCGGCACCACCGTACGTTTGTAGCATTAGACACAACATGCTAAATGTACTGACCAGCTTCTTGTTGTCAGTAAAATTTGCACGTTCTTCCTGCAAGGTCTGTGCAGATATGGAGACACGTGCTTCTACTCGCACTCACTACCTGAGCGTGTTGAAAGCGAGGAGGAAATGCTTGCGATGGGTGAAGAGATCCGTCTTTCGCAAGATCTGGAATGTGGCATTTGCTACGAGATTATTCTAAAGAAGGGCGAGCGGTTTGGCCTGCTTTCTGGATGCAATCACTCCTTCTGCCTCACATGCTTGCGCAACTGGCGAAGTAGTGAGGACCAGCCGAAGCAGACTGTGCGTCAATGTCCTGTGTGTCGAGTGGAGACGAAATTTATCATCCCATCAAGCCGAATGGTTACCAGACCCGAGCGCAAGAAAGTCCTCATCGACGTGTACCGGGTACGTGAATCAGTTGAGCTTGCGTGGCGTGTGGCTTAAATATTTAACTTGCCTTATGTGTGACCAGAAAAATCTGTCTGGCATTCCGTGCCGCCACTTCGACGAAGGAAGGTACGTCCATCATTGATCCCAACTTTTTTGATACACACGATAAATTAACTTCGCTTTGTGTTAAATTACTTCCAGAGGTACATGTCCATTCGGCACTAGCTGCTTCTACGCTCACCGTTACCCGGACGGCACATTGGCATCACGCCAAGTGCGAACCGCAGTCGACTCCGATGGCCAGTACGATGTCCTTCGTCAAATTCGCCTGGAGAACTTCTTGAAGCACAGTGAGAGCAACGAATAGCTGTCTGAAGACTGCTCTCCATTTATATTGATGCATGTTTAGAGTTTTGCATTGGTTCCACTTGCATGATGCAAGAAACGAATACATCGAAGCAAGAGAAAAGCTTGCTAACAGTCAAGGTTTACTGCATTATCTTTCCTTGCTGTAAGTGCAATGACCGCCCGACTCATGCTTATGCTTAGGCAGATTTGTGTGCTGCTACCCGTGTCGTGAACGAGCCGTCCGTCTGTCCAAAGAAGGCCTTTTCAGCCATTCCACAGAAGAGACCGACCTCCACGACACCAGGCAGCAGCTTCAAGCGATCACACAGCGTCTTCGGGTCGCTGATGACGCCAAAGTTGACGTCCACCACGAAGTTACCGTTGTCCGTGACCACCGGTCCAGCTTTGCTTTTGGCCATGCGCAGCACGGACTTGCCGCCGAAGTCCTGCTCCATCTTGTTCATGAGCGGCACGTAGGCCATGGGAATGACCTCAACGGGAACGCCCAGCGTCCACTGCTCACCGAGTTGCTTGGATTCCTTGCGGTAGTCAGCAATCACCACGAACTTCTTGGCTGCGAAGGCCACGATCTTCTCCTGGAGCTGGCAGCCGCCTCCGCCCTTAATGCAGTTGAGCTGCAGATCCACCTCGTCGGCTCCGTCAATGGTCACGTCGATCACGGGATTCTCGTCCAGACTAGAGAGCGTGAGCTTATGTTGGGCGATTAGCTGCTTGGCCTGGAAGGATGTGGGGATGCACTTGATGTCGGTGAGTTTCTTCTCCTTCACCAGCTCACCGAGACGCTCGGCGGCGTACACGACTGTAGAGCCACTGCCAACGCCCACGACGAAGCCGCTCTTAACGTACTCGTCCACGGCCTGACGCGCAGCCTACAGAAAGATACAGCAATAAATTAGCGCGTGGCTGCAGTCACGCAGCGAGTCTGTAGTTCGTACGGTGCGCTTGGACTGCTCAATAGGGCTAGACATGTTGGCTATTGGTATCTGCGACCTCTGCGAAGAAATCTCGAATGTGGTGGATGGCCGTACGCTATGTACACTCGTGTGGCTGTGGCACATCAACAACGGCAGTTTGATGACGCTGCTGACGTACGTAGACTATTTCGTAGTGATTTATGCTAAAATGTAATGTTTTAGAATTCGATTAAAAACTTCACTTGAGTCGCTGCTTGGAGTTCACAATGTTCGGCCTTCGCCTCGTTCGCAGGCGCGCCGTTAACGGCGTCACCGCTGCATTTCACTCGAAGCCTCCACCCACTAGCGCTGAGAATGCGGCAGTGCTGCAGGACCTGGAGACGGCGCTGAAGACGGACCCAGAGGCCGTGCAGAGGCTGAGCACGTTACTGTCGCCGTCAACGACTCGGAACTTGTCTCGGGCGCTGAAATCTGTACGGAAGAGCCCGCCAGCGGTTGAGGCTGCGACTGCTGCTGCAGTTGTGACACCTCCGACGACGCAGGAGCTCAAGATGGTAGCACTGCAGGTGGGATTGCCGTTTATCGGCTTTGGCTTCGTGGACAATTTCATCATGATCATCGCCGGTGACTACATCGACCTCACGTTGGGCGTGTCGCTCGGCATCTCGTCCATGGCAGCGGCCGGTATCGGCAACACCATCTCAGATATTGCGGGACTTGGACTTGGCAATGTGGTCGAAGATTTCTGCGCACGACTCGGACTTCCTATTCCAGCACTGACCAACGAGCAGGTGCGTTTTCTCTTTATCGCCTACATTGGTACAGTATGCTGTGTGTAGATGTACTGACGCTAATGTCCTTGTTGTTACTTGTCAATTAATCATAGATGCTGTTGAAGAGCACGCGACTGGCAAAGGTCGCTGGCAGCTCCATCGGCGTGACTATCGGTTGTCTACTAGGCATGGTCCCGCTGCTATTCCTCGAGACGAGACCAAAGGACGACAACCCCGCCCCATCAAAGACAGCGGTCACCAACAATGAGTAGACTTACATGTAGATAGACCTAGCAATCGATGAGCTAATCGTTCACACGTCGGACCATAAGGTCACTCTGTTCACCCGCATGAATGACATCGTACTGCCCAAATGCCGTCACCAGCCATCGCTTCCAGCGTGGCACGCGCAGTGCTGCAGTGGTTCGAGAGCAATTCGCAATGCCAGAAAAAAGTTCCTCCTTTGGAGTGGACGGTACTCGCCGGTATCGTATTACGCTCTCCCTCCTCAGACGCAGAGTCTAGTGACACATTCCGCGTACTGGCAGCGGCTACGGGCAACAAATGCCTCGGTCGACGCGACCTGAACGCCGACGGGCTCGTGGTCAACGATTGCCACGCTGAAGTGTTGGCCAGACGCGCATTCCTCCGCTATTTGTACGCCGAAGCGCTGTTCTGGCAGAACAACGGGTTGGAATCAAGCGATCAGTCGATCTTCGAGCGACACTCGACGTCGCACCGACTCGTGCTTAAGCCCCAACACTCGCTGCATCTCTTTATCAGTGAAGCACCTTGTGGTGATGCTGCCATCTACGAACTGCGCCAAGATGTTGTTAATGAATTGGTGCAGCAACGAGAAGCCAAGACTGGACAGGCGGACCAGAGAGAGCGGAGTGAGTTACGTTTGACAGGAGCCAAAGCACACAACAAGCGATCAAGAGATGTTGATGCTCGAAAGGACCAAGACACGCCACCAGATAAGAAATTCGCGCAAGCGGTTGGCATTGCACGTGTTAAGTCTGGACGATCCGATTTACCACCAGAGAAGCAGACGCTGTCTATGAGCTGCTCTGACAAACTGGCCAAGTGGAATGCACTAGGACTACAGGGTTCTCTATTGCTGCAGTGGTTTGAGCCTATCTTTTTGAGTTCAATCACCGTGAGTGAAGATGACAAAGCGATGTCAGTAGTGAAGCAAGAGCAGGCACTCCAACGAGCTCTGTGTACACGACTACGAGACCGCAATGCACTGATAGACGGAGCACGAATGTCCTGTGAGACTTGTGTTGTCTCCGAAATTCCACAATTCAGTCGTCGACGAACTTCTGACCGAGCTCCATCAAGTCTAGCGCTGAACTGGACCACTCGGGAATCCTATTGGACTCGCGCACAAGATGCTTCAACCAATGCCAAGTTTGTAGCCAAGTTTTTCAACAACTTTGAGTTCGAATTCTTGGTGGCAGCTACAGGTTTCAAACAGGGCGCTAAGAAGGCTTCAAAGATGGATCAAGTTGCCATGGAGAGAGTGGCTTCACGTCTGGCAAAGAGGAACATGCTGCGTGCATTTCACCTTCTCAGCCAAGCCTCACTGTCAGATAACACAAGTGATCTTGAGTATCTTCAACTCAAGCGAGCAGTTCCTGTACGCGCATCATGCACAACACCCTCTACATCTTCGGCATCGACAGCTGTTGTCGCCTACAACAATCAGCGAGAACAGTTCTTTGAGGCTTTCAGTGATTGGATTGGGGTTCCTGCCACGTTCAAGCAGTTCAAGCTCTAAGATACAATAGCTCACTTCTCTATGGTGCAGTCTCATTTGTTCGTTTGGCACTTTTTGCGGTCCTTCTCGAGGCGCTCCTCATAAATAATGGATCCAATATTCCCCGTAGATTTCAAGATATCGAAAGCCATAGCGAACGTGTCCACACAGTCACCAATGCGGAAGACGCCGCCAAAATCCATGTGACCGCCGTTTCCTAGTGGAAGCGGTAGTTGCGTGTCCTCGTGCAGAAAATTGGGCTGCTTTCTGTTGCCAAATAGCTCAAAGAACGCCAGCAATAGGGACGATACCGGTTTGTTCTTGTGTGTTGAGCTGTTGCGTTGGAAAATATACGCCACCATCATGTACAGCCGAAAGCTGCCGAGCCCGCCGGTGAAAGGTTTATCCAAGTCAAACTGGTACAAGAACTCCTTCAGGAACATGATCATTGTCGTAAACGGTACTCCCAAAGTGTCTTGCAGCCTTTGTACAAGAGAAGTCGAGCGTCCGAGATCACTCGCCTCAAATAACTCACGGTTGACACCGATGTCAATCGACAGCTTCGTCTTCGTGTCCAGCACCATAAGAATGGGAATTTTGGCCTTGTGTAAGCACTTAATCTGGAAATGAGGTCTTTGGGACTTCAACAACAACTGCAATGCTCGCAGAACGCGAAGTTTACGTCTGCGAAGTGCTGGATTCCAGTGTGAAGCAGGGGTGGGCTGCACACGACGAGTGATGTCTGCATTGTCCTCCGAGACAACCGTTCCCACTGGGAGCGCCAGGTTCAACGAGAACGAGAATTCCTCCTCTTCCACCTGTACAGGATCAGGCACCTCAGCACCAATATCTCGAGTTTCCTGCTCTTCAGTGAGTTCCTCTTCATCCACAACCACGCAAGGCATCTGCAGCGACGGCAGCGTAATATTCCCCACTGTAATATCCAAATCACTTCGAAAAGTATCCAGCCCCGTGCTGGATGATCCGTAGAGCTTCACCGTCGCGTCCTGGAACGCTGACGAGATAAGGCTCCGCAGGTCCTCGAACACTTTTGTGCGCAGCTGCCTTTCCTGAGGGGACAGCGCCACTTTAGCTGCAAATGCCTTCATTTCCTTATCCATCGGCGTCTCCTTGTATGAAATTGTAGCCGCATTGCTGTTGTCTCCATGCGTTTTACCTCTTCGCCACCGCTTCTCGCGCTTCTTCGTGACCTTTTTAGGGTTTACAAACGTTGCTCTCTCGCCACGAACCTGCTTCTTTCGACGCGGAGGGGCACTACGGACATCCCTTGCCTTCTCCCAATTGGTCGTGGAGCCTGTCGCCTTAATTTTCGACGCATGCAGCGGCTTGGCCGTCGCCGAGCGCTTCCGGTGACGCATGGCCACCGATTTACTACGACCTATAAGCCGACGCATAATCTAGGATAACCTATAAATCCATCTAAGTACGATATTTGAAGTAACGGTTTGAGCACATCCAAAGTGATGCAGGGGAATATGGAGCGGATGGGGCCGCCAAAGTTCCAGGCCATGAGCGCCTTTGCAGAGTCCCCTTCTCTGTGTCGGCGAGGCAAAAGTCTCCGATTTGCGGCAATTTCCTTTCCGCCACTTGGTCAAGAGAGGGCAACACACACAAGTACAAGCGGACGGAAGAGCTGAACAGGGCGCGCTCAGGACGCACAACCACGTTGGGAGACTTTGCAGCATTATGAAGCAGCTTCTTGCGCTGCTGGTGGCCAGCTGCGCGTTTGCCGCGCAAGGTACAGCAGATCCAGAATCTCTGTTACTGTATGTAAGGACGAGGAGCTCAATATTTGACGAATTCAATTTGTTGCGGTGTTGTATGTTTGCTACAGCGATGGAGACGCTGGAAATGAGCGAGGATGTGACCTTCGACAGCGTAGTGCTCAATGGAGAGAGCCGCAAATTGGCAGGAGCAGCGGTAGACACGACAACGTTCCCCGATAACTACACGCCTGGGCAGGTCATGGCGGCGGAGGATGAAGAACGCGCAGTCGGAGTGTGGCCTACTTCGAAGGGAATGGTGCCGCTCACAAGACCCCGGACGGTGGGTCCTTCCACACCGTTTGACGGCGGTATGAAGACGTACAAACGCAGTAATGTGGCTTTTAAATCTGGCGCTAAAATGACCAGAGCGAACGCCGTGTTCGTCGTACAGGCTGGTGGAACTCTGAGTAACGTGATTATTGCTGGTGGCGGCGGTGTCTTCTGTGAGACGCACAATTGTGCTTTGGTGAACGTGTGGTTCAAGGACTCGGTACAGAGTGCACTGCACGTCAACTCGGGCACAGGAATCACGACCATCACTGGCGGAGGAGCCAGAAATGTGGCACGTCGAGTCATCTTCGGCCAAGCCTCAGGTACTGTGGTTGTCAGTGGCGGGTTCTACATGGTAAATTCAGGCCGATTGTTCGAGTCTTGCGGCACCTGTGGCCCGGTGAAGCGTGGCGTTATCGTGGACGGTGTCGTGAGTGTGAACCCGACTGCGGAGCTCATTCGAATGAACTCGAACTACAATGACCGAGGCACCATTTCCAAGGCCACCATTACCACGTCGATGGCCAACTACCCTGTATGCACGCGCTTCATTGGCGGCGCTACCCCCAGGAAGGTCGGAAACGGAGCAGCTCCCCCCGTCTGCGCGTACTCCAAGGCTGGAGTGACGGTCAAATAGGTTGGCGCCTTTGACGAGAGTATTCGGTGATCGAAATGCTGCCTCAGCATTTATTGCGTTTTCGATGTTGCAGAGAGCGATTGCGAGCTTTCTTGTCAGCTAGAATAGCGTGTAGTAAAATGGAAAGACAAGCTATTATCTCTGTTCAGGAAGGTTAAAAGGTGTTGTTCGCTCCTCATGATGTTTCTATTCTCAAATTTCAAACGCGATCGAGAAGAGCGACGACTTGAATGTATCAGTGTCGCACTTGGATTGCAGGTTGTTCACACAGCGCTTAACTCGCTCTGCCCATACAGGTCTCAAGACGTGTGCGTCGTGCAGCATCTTGACTACCGTTTGCTGGCGAATGTCCTCGACATCTCTCGCCACGAGCTTCTGCAGAGCTTCAACAAGCGCCATGTGCTGGAAAACATCAGTATCACTCCCGTCCAAAGCAGCTATGGCAACCTTGATGATACTGGCGCTGAGCTCACAAGTATTGACACTTGCAAAGCCCAGAACTACGTAGTTTTTCATTTGGTCATACAGCATTCTCACGTTGAGTTGCTGCTCTGTATGTAGTAATTGCTCAAAGCACTTCAACATGACCATGAGAACATCAGGATCAGCGGATTTACTATTCTTGTGCTCGTAAAAAACTTGTTTAGCGATTGCAATCGAGTCCCAATGAGTTACCAACGGCAGAAGTTGGTACATTGCACCAGAAGCACCTCGAATAGGCAACTGGTTCTCGATTCCAGTAGATGACTTCGTGCCTTCATCCTCGTCTTCAAAAGCTGCTTCGCTGATGGTTTTAGTGTCCAGCATTGCGTGGCATACAGCTGCTGGAAGACTCAGCAACACGTCGACGTATAGCGGAACAAGCTCCTGGTAATGCTCGAGATTCCTCGAGAGACAAGATAATCCAACTCGTCTCAAGTTGAGACTGGCTTCAGGATGGAATTCACGCTCGATGATGGTCAAACACAATTCGATCTGCTCAGTAAAATCTCGTGTTGGCTCCTCTGATACTCTAGTGTCACCGTTCTCTTCTTCTTCATTCCGTTGAGTTGGTACAACGCGGAGAAAAGCTGATGCAACGACGACAAGTTGGGCCTTCACTTCCCACCACGCATGTCGAGACGAGAGTTGAGTCAAGCGTGGCAGCAGATCTACTACTAGATTCACGTCGTAGTTGAGGAATGGGATCAACATGGACAAACAGGCCGCTCGTAGTTTCTCACACGGAGTTTCCAGTCCGATACAGCAGTAATAATGGTATAGATCGACAATGGTTTCATCTAGTTCACTTTCCATACCAATCAGAACAGCAAGCATATGAATGAACAGTGGAATGTCATCTGCCAAAGCCTCGCGCAACTGTTTGATCGCTTGGATATGAGCCAGCACTAAATTAGGCAAGAACGCGTACAGTATACGAAGCAGTGGAGCTCGCTTGTTGAAAAATCGACTGAGAATTGTCGTGAACTTTGGTAGTAAGAACTCGGGCATAAAGAGTGAAGCGGCTGTACCATCCCGACGAACGCACTGTTGTCCAAATACAACGAAGAGATTTACTGTGGTCTGAAACAGGATATGCCCTTCGTCGTACTCAGCAAGCAACGGATACATGAGACCGACGAACTTCCAGAATTCTCGTGGGAAATCCAAGAAAGCCAACGCAAGTACTTCAACTTCTTCTTCAATACCGTGAAGAACCTCCGTACACTCGTGCTCTCCAAAAACGTTTCCTTCGTACGCGCTATCCAGGAAGCTCTCAAATTTATCCTTACCTCCACGTGGTTGTAGTGTAAGTCCCATACTCGAAAGTTTACGTGCTATTGTTTCATTCAGCAGATCCAAAGGCCGACGTTTCTGAATAAGTTCCGGACTGCTGCCACTCACACCGCGTGCGTCGAAGGAGGCGACCCCGCGAGTCTCTCCAAGAAGACCACTGGAGCCTGAGTGACCCAGGGATTCATTCTTCTTGGCTTCTCGTGTTGCGCGTAGTTTCTCGAGTCCCTTTTGATTGATCGTTTTGATCTGCACCTCACGTACAATCTGCTGCGTCATTAGCACCGGATTGCTGTCGTCGTTTCGAACAGGTTTAGTAGATCCACGCAACACCGTGGCTTTGCTGGCACTCCGGATCGCTGGATAGCGATCGGGTGTGTCTGTCATCAAGCGTTCAAGATGCTGCGTCTCCTCGTGTTGTGAGTGAATGTCACGCACTTTACGATTGATCTGCGTCTGGTCTTGCATCTCGGCGATCTCAGGCTCGCGCATCTTGTCTCGAATAAATGCCGAGTTGGTGGGTTTGGCGTACGGAGGGATCTCCTCCACTGTATCCAAGCTCTTGGCGATGCTCATTGGCGCTGCTACGTTCCCTGATGTCGGAGGTTGAGCCACGGCAGTTGGCTGGACAGTACGCTTAGTCAGGCATTGATAGAGTTTCGTAAGGAATGAGACTGCAGCTCCGTTCTGGCAGTGGACGATAGCGTCGATGTCACTTTTGTTGGTCAGAGGCTCCAGGTCCACAAAGCGGCCGAAGATCTTGATCAATTGGTCCCAATTGTCCTTCCTGACCTTCATTCCAATGCCGTTATCGTACGAGTGCATGCTGATGTCTTTGTCATAGTAGCGTGATAGAATCTCCGCCACCAGGAACCCATTGGCAAAATCTCTGTCATTGACAGTTCGTGTTATAGCTCGAGTGGTAAAACAAGTATAAATCTCAGGCCTCGACGCACCGCTTCACGTTCTTGATGGAGTAGGCCAAGTCCAAGCTCTGTATCCAGCGCAGCAGCTCGCGGTTTAGCTTGTTGGTCTTGGCGTCGTCCGCCATGTTGACTGTGTCTCTTCAAGATAACGTCTCTTTCACAGTAGCCATTTAGAAATACGTTTAGAAATTTCATTCCAACCTCTTCCTCATCATATTTAGTGTTCGAAACACGAATTATCCACTAGCCACCGCTTTCGTCCATCATTGGCCAACGTAGCTCTTCGCCTAGCCACCACAAGTATGCGCGTGCTGCGTCCGACTCGGCTGGCCCTGCGGCGTCTACGCGCTCAGACCGATCGCCAGCAGCGTCTGCAGCTTCTCGTTCGCGCCTTCAGCGACGCTACAGACCCTGCGAAGCGTCCTCTGGGTGGCTCCATAGCTCCGTCCACCTCAGCCGCGTCTACACCACATGTCAATGGCTTCCACAATGGCAGCAGTGAGCACACGCAGTCCGAGACGCTGCAATTTCTTGCGTCATACCATGAAGATGAGCAACATCAGCAGCAGGACGTGGAGTTCACGGCGCAACGCATTGGCTTTCCCATCAGCGAGGCAGAGTACAAGGAGCGCAGCGAATACCAGGAAGACGACAGCATCCGTGAGGAATCCAGAGCTGAAGCGACAGCCAAAGCCGAGCGAATCATGGCTGTATTGCGTCATTCAATGTCGGAGCTGGAGATTGGCAAGGTTATCCACCGTATTGCCCAGTACGCGACGCTCCCGCGCGTCACTGGCCTCTCAAGGAAGCAGTTCTTGCGCTCTTTGGAGACACGATTTGGAGAGAATAACAAGAAGGAGTTCGGCTACATGCTCGCCTTCCTACAGGGCAGAGACGACGTCATTGACCAGCTCGAAATTGACTCTCGAATGGGCGGCGAGGCAATCGAGGAGAACACGGACGTTAGCAACGAGACAGAAGCTACTACAGAGGACTTTGTGGTGCCCCAGATCATGGGATTGCACCCAGATTTGGTAGCTGACCCAAAATTTGTGAGCATCGTGTTCTGCTACTGTCGATTGGCGTGTCTAAACTCGCTCAAGCTCATGCAGCGCCCCGCCGCAGGGTTTAACCGTGGCTCCAAGTCCAGTTTATGGCAGGTTAAGGCTGATTTCCGCAAGGTGCTGGACATGGAGGGATATGCGCATTACGCTGACATGCTGGGATTGGACAAACAGTCTCCGAAGGACGAGCACGAGGATATCGACGCTGTCGACGCTGAGTGGGAGGAATTCAACCTGGAAAACGATCGTATTGACTTCCGTATGCTACTGTCACAGACTCAAGGTATTGTGGACTTTATGAAGACCGAGCTGTCGAATGAAACGATCTCCAAGATGCTCGTGGCGATGCTGGCGTCGGTCAAGACTTCCAAGCTGCACCGTAAGATCTTCCAGGAAATGGTGTGCAATATCCAGACGGCGTTCCCAGATATGTACCACGAACAGCTTCTATCGGAGCTTGTGCCGTTTCTATCGGGTGATAACGCCACGTACGAGGACTTTGACTCGGAAGTAGCGACGACTGCGCTGCAACACCATCAGATGCGAAACGAGGCTATTATTCGAGCTTTACTGGAGACACGTATGCGTGTGGGTCACATTCTGATCAACGATATCGACGAAGTGGAGCCGACTCAATCGATTTCCAAGAAATTGACTCCAGAACAGCATGAGAAGGTCATTACGACGGCGTGGAACATCGTGTCGGTGCTGGACGACCGCAAGTATCACATGTTCTTCACTCGCTTCCTCAAGTACAAGCTGGCATGGCGACCGAACCGCACCACGTTCGGAGAGACGTTCCTGTTGGATGTGCGTAAGACGCTCGGTCCTCGTGATGCAGAGGCCATCATGCCCATGTTCGAGGAAGTGTATCAACAATTGTCAGTGGAGACACTTACGATCTGCCGCGTCAAGTTGCGTCACTCCAGGAAGCTGTTGCGTGGTCGAGGTGTATTGGAGCCGTTGAATGACGCTGGGCGCGAGCGTCTGGAGACCGCGTGGCAGTCTTCACACTGCGCGTTCTACCGTAATCTACCGCACGGTGTGACCAAGAAACACTTAGAGAACGCGCTGGCTCATGTGGGAGGCGTCAAGCGCTTCTTCCTGTTTTCTAATCCCATTAATGGCCCACCCGAGTCGCCAGATGAAGAAATGGATGATGAAGAGGATGACGAAGAAGATGAACAAGAAGAAGACGAAGAAGAAGTAGAGGATGACGAGAAGCCCAAGAAGAAGAAGAAAAAAGCCAAAAGGACCAAATCGGACGACGCTCTGCCTAAGGGCAGGGAACTCAAGGACATGAAGATGTCCAAGTACAAGCAAAAGATTATTGCGAGCGACAAGAAGACTCCGTACCAAGCTGTGGTGGAGTTTGACTCGGAAAGCGCCTGTCGTAAGGCGACGATGCGCGCGTTGCAGATCTTTGGCGTGATGATGGCCGGCTGGAAAGAGTATCGTCCGGTCTTCTCGTCTTCAGTGGACAAGCACTCGGGCGTCACCCTTATGAACGTCCCGTACGGTGCGACAGTCGGAGAATTGGTGCATCAGGTGAATGGAATCCTCACTAAGGCTGGTCTGAACATGAATGTGTCTGGCTTGGTGCCTCGTGGCGTAATGGTCACTAACGGGCGCTTGGATCTGCGCTTCCCGTCGTTCGTGGAGGCTGCACAAGTGATTGAGTTGCTGAATGACCATGTGAGCAAGATGAAGTGTCGTCGGGATCGTTCAAAGAGAGAGGCGGTGCTGTTTAGCGAATACGAGAAGCTCAAGAAGACTTTGAAGAAGAACGAAGAGAAGGAGAGGAAAAAAGAGGAAGAGGAGCAGTTAGCACGTGAGGAAGAAGAAGTTCAAGATGAAGAAGATCCCTTGTGCTTTGGCGTGGATGAAGACGACGACGATGAAGACAATGATGAAGAGGAAGAAGAAAGCGACAAGAAGAAAAAGAACGTCATGGAAGTGTCAGAAACCCTCGAGGAATACTTCGCCGAGTGGCTCGAGGCAGAGGAGAATATGACCGACGAGCAACGTGCTCTCAGCGAGGTGCCTCGTCCATTCGACGTCACGTGGACGCCACTGCCCAAGCCCAGGAACAAACACATGTACCTTTAACCTGCCAAAACCCATAGACACCACAGTGATAGCAGGCCTTAAGCACATTTTGTGAATAGATACTTAGACACATCTTATCGCCAAGAAATGCATTTAAATATTGGCTCAGAAGAGCAGCAGATCCTTGATCATGCGGTCGGATACAGTGGCTGACTCAGCCTCGGCGCCCGAGCGCACACTAGCGTCGAAGGCGTGCGCGAATCGCTTGTCCTGGGCCATCATACGCTCCAAGAGCGAGTTGGACTCGGCGTAGCGTCGGATCAAGTGTTCGCAGAAGCTGTCGTACGTCTTGTTTTCCTTGTAAATGAGTCTCCCAGTGGCGTAGCTGGCGGTGCGATAGGCCTCTACAAAAGTTCCTTCGACGCCGTCCTGGACCTGTGGCCGGAAGACAACCCACCGCTTAAAGAGCCAAGGTAACGTGGTCTCATCCTGGAAATCGCGCTCCTCCAAGACGCTCTGTTGACAAATAATAGCCCGCTGTTCCTCCGGCATGAATCTTCGACACACGATGCTGTTGTAGCTGACATTGGGGACTCCGTGGACATTCAATGACCATTTTCCCGTGGTCTTGGAGTACACGTGAGCCACGTCTTGATCCAGCGGAGTAACCACAACGTAGTGCTTCTTACCGTGCTTGATGGAGATCTTCTGAGCCACATTCGTCTCCCAGCAGAAGTCGAACATGTCCCTGACATTACACGGGAAGAATTTCTGGTTGTGGATCGTGTAATTCTTCTCTGTAATAGCGAGACGCAGTTGCCAGCCGTCCATTTCGATCGGAAGACACGAGATCACTTCCGGTGCGAAGCTGCTGCTCTCCAAGCTGATGTTTACACGTACGAAGGACGCGATATTGAGCAGTTCCTTCTTACGCTCGTCACTTAACGAGTAGCCTGTGGCCGGGTCGATCGTGTGGACGCTGCTAGCATCGTCAGTCTCAATGTGGTTGACAGGATCGTTACTATGTGTGCCGTCTGTGTCTTCTCCACTGTGATCTTCCGTCCTGAACGGCAAGAGATCCGAGCTGAAGGACACGAGCGGAGCCGTGGGCGTCGCTGCCGGACTTGGGCGCGCTCCAGAGCTCATCTCCTCCACTTTCCTCATACTGTCGTCTACGAAGTGAGAGAGACGAGCTGCGCGTTGTTGTTGCGATAATTGGCCTTGTAAGTAGTTGACCTGGTCCTTTAGAGCTGCCTGGAGCTCCACGACGTGCGTGCGAAGGAACTGGAGCTCCAATTTCTGCTTCTTACGGCAACGTCGAGACGCCGCGTTGATCTTAAGTTGCCGTTCACGTGATACTTTAGTCTTCTTAGTGGCCGTCGTGGCATTACTGTCTTCTTGTTCTTTCTTCACTCCAGTAGCTGGCGGTGTATTCCGTCGACCGATGTTGACGGTATTGCCTCCTGTGTGCACCACCGGATTCTGAGGTTTCGAGCGCATAGCCAACATGGACGTGGCTACAGCCGTCGTGGGAGACGTCTTGTCATTAGTTGAGGGCGTCGCCATCCTGTCGTAGCTGCGCTTAACGCCGCTTTGTCTCGTGGTCGACGGAGTGCCAGCACCAGACGGAGGGAGGCCGTTGCTCACTGCTGAGGGCGGGAAGCCCAGAGGAGCTTGCGTCGTAGGCGTCGAGTAGTATAGATCTAGGTATGAACCCGTGGGGGCGTCAGGAGCGGAGCCGGAAGAGCCCAAATAAGCGCCGAAGATATCATCGTCCATATCGGCGGCTGTGAGCAGCGTCGTGTCACTGATGGACGTGAGTGCGAGCGTCGAGTTGGAGCTGCTGGAGCCTGTCGGTGACGCGCCGGAGACCGAGGCCAGCTCCTGCTTGAAGGTCAACACCTCGTCCTCGGTGTAGAGCGAGGAAGGTGACGAACTGATGAGGTCCAAGTCTGCACTGTACTGCATAAGGTGGCGAGGTGAGTGGGTCGCCTGAGAGTGCGAGAGGTAGGAGGCGAAATGGGGAATGACGGACCAGCGAGTTGTTTACCGCCGGTGGGTGGGCGTGTACGTATCCCGTCACCTTCGACTCGAAGTTCGAGGTGCAAATGCCAGCAATGACCTGCTCGCAGGGTTGCTTGCTTGACCTCGTGTCGACGGAGCCCCTCCCCGTTTAACCACCCATACTTGAAGAGACTATGCCGGTGTTAGCGGATACTTCCCTCGAGCGGCTGCGTCGATTTGACTTGGAAGTCTATGAATCGCCTTTTTATGTGTCCAGAACTGGAGAACTGATCCAGTCCAGGTTTCTAGAGACCACAAGAAAAGTTACAGGACCTCTATTCGAAGCACCAGTGGCTGGTCAGCAAACGAGGGAACTGGGATGGGCACACTTGCCCATCTCGGGCACAAAATTATAGTCCAAAATGGGTCAGACTTTTCATACGATGAGAGCCTGCACTTCGGCAATAAGATAGGGACTACGCAGTGAGCGTGAAAGCGCTATCATGTAGTAAAGCGCTACCGTGATCGATACTATCGTCTTGATGTTTTTTTGATGGTTTTGCGTAGCTAGATTTCGCGTTTAATTTATTTCGTATCTTCGGTTTGCGCACATTGTAGGAGACGTTGCTGTTGTGCTGTGTGCTGAAGCGTTCACATTGTAATTTCATTTTTTGCATTTTTTCGAAGGGGGGGGGGAGGTTGCTTCCAACATAATTTGAGTTAGTGCGGGTAAATTAAAGTTTTAGTGAACAGCATGCTGCACGAAGCAGCCATCGCGGCTATAACAAAATATGTGTTGACCCAGACATGCTAAAGTTCATCCTCAGCTTTATTATCGATGCATTTGAAATTTGGTTCGAGTTTTTGGTCTTACCTGTCTATCGCAGCGACGGCCCAGTTCAGCTTGATTGTCAAAGGCAAACTTATCAGGTTACCTCCTGCGCACTGCGCAGGACATCACCTTTCAGACTGACTCAGTCATTGAGAGCGGCAGATTCTCGCCTCTCTACTGGCCTGACGCAGGCAGCGTAGCCCGCTTTATGTCCGCTGCGCGTGCAAGTACACACCACCAGAATTACAGAGTTGTGATGAATCGTCACCGATGATCCACACAACAGGTGCTGCCAGCAAAGCTTGCCCAACAACACTGATAGCTTTGCAGTGCCAAGTCGTACGCTATGCAACCAAATCCGATACTTTGTTTGAGCAGTACATGTTTGGTGCTTTCGATAGCTTGGCGAGATCTTGTACACGTTGCCAAAGTCGATGCAATAAAAAAAAAATCGTCAAAATTAAATTAGATACAGGTAGGTACTTGCTTCTTCTCGCTGTCGGCGTTCACCAACACGTAACTGGTCTTTTTGTCCGCTCCTAGTTTCTGGAAGCGAGTCTTATCGCGCTCCACGCCAGGTCCGCGGCCGAGGGCTGGAAATGGATGTGATCGGTTTGCAATTTTTGCCTTCGCAACTCGGTTGATGGAGACTTGTATCTTCCTCGACTCGGCTGTCGTCGTCTCGACTAGGAATCCGAGTCGGGTGATGGTGGAAAAAGGTTGTAAGAGAGCCGAACGCAACAGGGAGCTTCGACATCCTGGCCTTGGGCAGCACGCCACTGTTAGTATTGGGCGGTGATGAAGTCGCAGCGGAGGAGGCGGGGACGGGCATCGGAGGAAGCCTGCGTGAACGCTGGACGAAGAGTGTCCTCGGTCGCGAATTCGATTGTGGCAGGGCACAAGACTGGCGCACAGACATCGAGTGCATGTACACACTCGAGCCAGTGGATACAGTTAAGCTAGCGTCGAGCGTTGGGCAACGGAACTTCTCGTTTTTTTTTTAGCAACAAGACGTTGAAGTTGTCATCTCGTCAGAATCTATTTAGACCACCGTATGAAAATAGAATCACATGGGTTATAATTAGACCACCGTATGAAAATAGAATCACATGGGTTATAATTGAACGGTTTCTGAAGCGGAACTTGTCTTGTACGAATGACTTGCTTTTTGTATGCAACTTCAACAACAAGTAACTGGCTGGCGCCACACATGAAAAATGTGGTCGTAGAAGGAGGCCGATCCCACCACGGGTGCTTTCGCTTGTAGCGCAGCCGGATGCAACCACCAGTCCACGCCGTACGCAAGCGAGTCATGCCGGTCGTAGCTCGTCGCCTTGTCCAGCTCGGTCTGGTCCTCCGCCAGCTCCAACACCTGGAAGCCGTTGTGCATGCAAGCAGCCAGCAGCAGCTCCTGTAAAACAGAGACGGGGGTGAGAGGTTAGCGCATCATCACCGGTAATTAGATCTCGCTTTCTGGTGCTCTACCTTGCGATGCTCAGCTGGATGCCATTTCAGACGCCAGACGCCGCCACCTGCGCCGTACACGGCCAGCGGGCGCGTCATATTACGATGGTCCCAGATCGCAATGTGTTCGTCGTAGCTACCCACAGCCACTAAACGCTCGTCATGCGGGTGAAACTGGATGCTGCATACGCCCATGGAGTACTGCCGCGTGTTCTTAAAGGTCGGCGCTGCGGAGCCGACGCGTAAATCCCATCCCTTCATGGCAGCGTCGTCTGCGCCCGAGAACAGCACATTCGGGTCGTGGCAGTTGAAGGCCGCGATCCACGCCTCAATGGGCGAGCCATACAGGTCGTGAGCACGCCACTAAAGTCAAAGCAATCAAGTAACAGTTAGGCATCGTTTCATCAAGGATGCTCTACATCAAGCGCGTCTCAAGACCCCATCGACAAACCAGGGGTTGCCGCTACTCAAGCGGAAACCGGTGCGACCATACCTTGGCTTGTTGAATGATACCGTGCGGTGCAAGATCCCAGACCGATAGTGCGCTGCCACCAAGAATCACACACAGCACAATGTTAGCGTCTTTGAAGCACAGGTTTTTTGCAATGTGATCCCTACCCGTCCGAGTGGCTCACGCAGATGGAAGGTTGGGCTCTTGAGTGGACACGGTTGTTCCAGTCCAACGACAGGCACATGGATTCAGCGTTCGTGTCGGTGGTTAGCCCCGAGTGACGCAGCGTCTGCACGTCACCTTCGCGAGCTAACTCGTATAGTTCCAGTGAGCCACCAGCCGTGGCGGCACCCAGCACTGCCTTGCCGTTCATGGCCTCCGTGTTCCACTTGATGTCGAAGATGCCGCTGGATGTTGTGATTCCCTCCAGCTTGTGCACCGAAACATTTGCGCCGTCGGTACTGGCAGCGTCGTCACAACTCAACTGGAAGTGCTGAATGGTGCCACTACGCCGGTCCTCCTTCTCGCCAATCTCCGCCGCCTTGTGGAGCTGGTAGGTAGCCACCACCATCGATGACTCGAAGCCTGCCACGGGGCATGATTCCACACAGTCCGCCGTCTCGACGGTGTCGAACGTTGCCAACGTCGCGTCCATCTTGCACCTTGCGTTGGCTATCGTAATACTTGAGTTTCGTAGCTTGGACTATTTTAGCAATTTCTAGTTTTTGGGTGTCATTCCAATCCAGTCAAAATTGGAAAAATATGAGCACCATCGACGACGCGAGCAGCTCCGATGAGGACGATTTCTTCGGTCGCATGGAGAGCGATGATCTCTTTAAGGAGACAGAAACACAGCGAGCAAAACGTCGAGAGGCTGCGCGATACGTGGAGCAGTACGCGGAGCGAGGATGGGGACTGGCAGCCAGACAGCGACGTGTTCAAGGCACTGATAAAGACATGGTGACGGAGAGCGCGCTTGAGCTCCGTGCCGACAAGAAAGTTGTCTTTCAGGAGAAACAGGGTCAGCAGGCTAAGGTCTGGGATTGCGCTTTGGTGCTGGCTAAATTCCTGGCCAACGACGCGTACTTCTCACCGAGCTTTTTCATTAACAAGCGCGTGATTGAGTTGGGCTGCGGCATCGGTGTGCCGGGTTTGGCTGCAGCTGCACTTGGTGCCAAGGAGGTTGTGCTGACCGACATGGTACGAGTCCCTGGTTAATGATGATAATTCGATCAACTGCTCACGTGCTCGTCATCGCAGCCCATGGCAGTCCCCTGGATCCAAGTTAACGTCGAGCGGAATCAGAAACTCGGCTGCATTTCCGGTAACGTCCGTGCGCAGGGATTAATGTGGGGCGAAGGCGACGAGCTAGAGTCGCATCAGTTCGATGTCATCCTGTGCTCAGACCTGGTATACGGCCATCGCGATATCTCTCAGAAGCTGGTACAGACCATTGTGCAGTTATCGCATCCTGACACGCTGATCGTTTCCGCGCACGAGGCTCGCTTTGCTGGAGACCGAGGCGACTCCTTCTTCTCACTGCTGTCCGACAAGCAGTTCCAAATCGAGCAAGTGCCCCGCGAACGCCTCGACGCAGTTTACAGTGCCGCCAACATGCACATGCATCTGATCCGGCCCCCACAGATTCGGACTCAGACCCAGACAGATTAAAATTAAAAGATGGCATTTTACTTCTAAAACCTTACGAATTAGTTCCGGCAGGTAGTGCAGACACGCAATGGCCCATTGGCCAAGATGCTGAGCTTGAGGCCTCTGCGCTGCTCGCTGGTGCCGCTACGACGACTGCTAAGCTCGTCCGCCGTGGCTGCACCTCCCTCGCAATCACTGTGGCAGGATGTGTACAATTTGGATGCGACGCACTGTCATGACCCGCTGGTGAGCGAAGACGACCTGCAGCTTATGCTGGACGTGATCACGGATGACGAGGAAAAGGTTCTGTCGGACGAGTGTGCGCGCATTCTCAAGCGCCGCCGCTTCGAGGAGAATCACTGGGACGACGTCATCATCAAGTACAAGGAGATGGAGCGCTCGCGCTGGTCCACCGAGACACAGCGTATTCTCCAGAAGGTCCGCGAGGTTGCCATTCTACCCAGAGACCTCACCTACTTCCCAGCTGTCCATGTGATTGAGTTGGCCGAGGACGGCTACATCAAGCCTCATGTGGACTCCATCAAGTTCTCAGGCCGCGTAGTAGCCGGCATCAACCTGCTATCGCCCAGTATCATGAGATTCAAGGAGGAACACGGCGACTCGGTCATCGACGCGTACCTGCAGCGTCGATCCATGTACATGATGACCGGAAGAGTCCGCTACCACTACACGCACGAGATCCTGCCTGGCGCACAGGTCTTTAGAGGAGAAGTGCCAGTGAACCGCACGCATCGCATCTCAATCATGCTGCGTGACGAGTTCCTCGAGGAGCACGTCGCCAAGTACCACACACCGTTCGCCAAGCCAGACGACGAGATGCAATGAATTACAATCAGTGTCCAATGCAATTTAATATTAGGGGGGGGTTGATTGACTAGCTACATAGTGGCGTCCTGTTCGCCGCGTCAAAAAGCGTGCAGTATCTGTAGTTTCCACCGTGCTGCGAGCTCCATACTCGTCATCACGTGCCCGCCTAATGCGGTACAGATCGACTTGCCGTGAAGCACTTTTAGTGCTGCATCTTCTTCCGATGCGTCCAGCACGTGGTGACGCGCCTCATATCGTACACACGACGGCATAGCAATCCAGCAAAACTGACGAGTCCACTCAGACGACGACACGCACGTTGCTCTTAAACTTGGACGGTCCCGTGGATCTGGAGCGAGGTTTCTCTGCAAAACGGTAGTCGGCGCGGTTGCTGTTGACAACGCGCGTCTCCTTTTTAGCGGACTGAGCAATGGCATCGGCCTTGCTAATGCTCTCGAGTGACGACACGATCTCGGCGGCACTCGGTCTCCGCGACGGGTTGTGCGACCAGCATCGAGCCATGAGCTCCGCCCACTTGATATTGCACTGACCGGGCTTCATAATTGGTCGGCAGCCCGACAGCACATACTCGCTGATCTCGGCGTTCGAGTGCATGTCTGCGTACGGCAGTTCTCCTGTTGTGAGCTCCCACATGATGAGTCCGAAGCTGAAGATGTCCACGGCCTGCGGACTCGTGCTGTCGCTCGGGAATGCTCCCTTATGGACTCGTTCCTCACCTAACTTGAGCAGTTCAGGCGCTGTCCATCGCAGCAACGCTGAGCGCTCGTCGATGCTGTCCATTCTACTCCTATCGAAGCCCACGGCCTCCGCCACACGTCGCGTGCCAAAGTCCGCGAGTTTGGCGTTCCACGAATCGTCTACCAAAATGTTGGTACTCTTGAGTTGTCCGTGGACAAGAGGTGGGTCTGCGCTGTGCAGATAGAGCAGTCCTCTGGCCGCTCCAAGCGCGAGTCGTATCCGCAAGCTCCACTTGAGGTTCACCTTCTTTTTGGCCATCGGGTCACTGGTCCCGCCTGGTGCACTGGCTGTACTTGCAGATGCTGCTCTTGAGAGCGGTTCTGAGCCTTTACGCTTGTGTCTGCTCCTACTGGAAGCCGAGGCCTTGGGGGCGTGCAGCACGTTGAATAACGAACCGCGCGTACAGTATTCGCTGACGATACAGAAGTAATCTTCCTGCAGACACGCGCCCATGAAGAGCACTGTATTAGGGTGACGTAGACTTCCCATGCGTGTGGCCTCCACTTCGAGCTCCATCTCGACATTTTCCCTGGCCGAGGGCTTGGACGGAAGAGAGATCATCTTCATCTTCTTGACGGCCACCACCGAACCACGGTACGAGCCCTTGTAGATGACACCCGACGGGCCTTCGCCGATCACGTTGAGACACACCACTTCGTCGGCCTGTTGTGTGAATTAAATGAAGCAATAAGTCGCCTAAGAAACGTTACGCGGCAATAAAGGGCCGAGACGTACCGCCAATAAAGACGTGGTGCCGAACGTGGACTGCTCCGTGGACTGCTGCACGTAGCTGTGGCTGGTCTCGTCCAGCTCGGCCTCGAGCTCGGCCGCCATGTCGCTGTCGGGCAGGCACTTGGACAGACAGAAGCCCATGGTCGACGGTGTCGCTCTCTGACGGCGGGACCGAGTTTGAGCGAGTGATGGAGCGTCTCTGCCTGGCGAACGTCGACCGCGTGATTGTATTTTTGAACCGACACCCAACGACGCGACAGCCCAAACCAACACGGAATGGCCCGGCGTTGCATGCAATAGTTTGCTCGAGTGTCAAAAGAGGGCAGTTGCGACCGGACAGTGTGTTCCGCCCAAATAGCTGTTTCGAAGGCGCCCAAAACTAAATTGTATGTGCAAGGGACGACGCGTTAGGGTTGTCTGTACGCTGACTCCCGCAATGAATGAAGAGAGGTAACAATTCTTGTTGCCATAAGAAGACGGAGAAGAAGGTGTCGACGCTGGCAGTAAGTTGCAAAAGCGAACGTCTTCGTCGAAAGTGCGACCTGCGTGACGCCCAGAGTCTTCTGTCAACGTCGAAAGTTTAGACAGTGTTATAATACGTCGCGGGATTGTTTTCAAAGCCGGACTTGATGCGAGGTGTACAGAACACGTAGCGAGTTCCGAACATGACGTTCGCGACCAAACTGCGTCAACTTGGCGCCGATCGCACGGCAAAGGAACAATCCATCGCAGCAGTTTCAATGCGGTGCGGTGGAGGATTACCAGCATTGCGTTCTGCTGTCGCCAGTCGATGACAAGTTCTAAAGCTATCTACAAATCTGATTGCGGTCAAGCTTTGGCTCCGCCATCTGAAGCCCGGGCCAGTCAGTGGTCTCCACTACAGGATATTCCACCGACCTTCTTCTATCTAAACTCTCTTTCTTCTCTTTGCTCCAGCAATGTTCAGTGGGTGGCAACCAATGACTCAGTGGCTGGCTTGGCGTGCCCAGGTCTCCTCATTTTCGAGTTTGTTTGCGTCGAGAATCGCCGTCACTTGGACAGCTCGCTGTTGTCCTGGCAAAGCGGTCCTGGCAAGACTCCTGTCCTGTTGAATCGATAGTGATGATGGGATGCTTGCTTGTCACCATGGACACTTTCCATTGGACAGAGCTAGAGTCGAGCCAACAAATTACCTCGAATCTACGTCTCCAGCTGCAGCTCTCGACGGCACGATGAGCGGCTTCCAGAGTCTGAATCAGACGGGTCCTAAATTGCTAAAGCTGTACGCTGGCCTTTGAGCCAAAGACGCAAAGATACTTTCTTTCGTCGTCGTCTGCGAGGTAAAAAAGCTGGCAAAGACGCTCTTATAAGGAACTCGTTGGTTTGTCTCGGCGCGATTGCCTGATGGTGGCGTCATTGACACCACATCAGTCGTTATCAAACGAGTCCGATACGCGCCATAGTCTATGGCATAGAGCCTCTGTGGTGCGGTGTCCCTTGTCGCTCTATCATAGAGCCCGGCACGCTCAGGGGGACATCGGCGATCTGTGGTTGAATCCGATGCACCACGACACTTTAGCTCATTTGCAATCACTTACGCAATGCCTACTTCCTTCGTTACGCTATGTATCCGACTTTGCCACGACTTGCTCCTTTGCCAACTCAAAGCGCAGACGCACTGCAAACTCTGGTGCGAACTTCTTGTGTCCGTGCTTGGCATCCTTTGCAATCTTGTCAATCTCGCTCTTCTCCAGCATCAGCTCAAAATGACCATCTACTTGAGGAATGAACGCGGTGTGGAACCAAAAGTGCCCCAACGCGCTACCGGATCGTCGTCGGAGTTCCACCCTGACCTCATCCCAAACGAGCACCGGGTTGCACCGCATTTCCAGTTCTAAGACCTCTTTGCCATTGTCACCGTCAATGCAGGGGCGTAGTTGACGCTGGAAGCTGCCGATCAGGTCGTAGACCGCAGTACGGGGCCGAAGAGCTCCACACTCCACTCGAACGCGCCACTCGGCAGCACTAGCATTCGTTTTCTTATGACCAGTAACGCCGCACAGCACGACCGCAACTAACACGAGGTTGACACGAGCAGGCAGCACAGGCTCGGCGTGCGGTCGTAGCTTAGATCCAATTGTCTCTCGTGGTGACGTAGCCTCCAGTAATGCTTGAGTCTCTTGCAGCCATTGCGTATGATAGTCTGCCAATGTCATCGCTCGCTCACGAGCTTCTTCGTCCTCGTACGATCCGAGTTCTTCGAGGTCATCGGCACTTTCTGAGCGACGACAAAGTTCGCTAAAGTAGCCAACGAACCGCCGTTGGCTCCGAATTGTTACGCCTTGCAATTTCTTCGAGCGTGCAGCAGCAAAATACTCGAGTGCTCCGTGAGCGGAACGCCATATCCGGGCGTACAACATGTAGGCGCACAGCATGACACCCGTTCGGCCTTTGCCAGCTTTGCAATGCACCGCCACGATATTTTCGGGGTTTGTCGTCAACCAAACATGCACGTCGCGACAGAACGGGAGCAGCAACGACAACGGTGGTGGACAGTGGTCTTCGAAGCCATACTCGGCTACACGTCCGTGGAATTTCTCATCGGGTGCGTAGCGGCGCTCCACGCATAGGTTGTATACGCGGTATCGTCCAGGATGACGCTGTTCGAAGAAGCGAAAGACGTCGCGATAGTGGTTCCTATAGATGCCCTCGATCATCTCCGCCGGATAACCCAAAGCAACAAGACGCTGGGTGACGTACGTCAAGTCCAAGTCGAAGCCGTCGGAGGAGAACCGACGTTTTTCCTTGGACACTAAGTGCTTTAGACGATATGTGAGACCTCCAGTGTACCGTCTCGATGAGGTTGGACTCGAAGAAGGTGATGGCATTGGGGATGTTTGTTCGGCGTCAATTTTGAGTGTTGGTCGGATACTTGATGGAGAGTGAGACGCAGCTCGAATAACCGGGGAAGGAGGTGGCGCTGGGGGTGACTCAAAGGTACCCCATGCCTCTAATGGTGATGGTGGCGAGATCGAATCAACGGTAGATACAGGCGATGTTGGAGTTTGATCCAAAGGTCCAGACTTGTTGTCTTTCCCTTTGTGTAAACTCCTATCACTCTGTCCAATGTGCTTTACCCTCGTGATCGACAGCATTCGTTGCATGGTAGCGCGACTTGTGTCAAGTACTGAGAGAAATGAAACAGGGTATTGCTGGACACCTTGAGCACGTGCCAAGATGCAGAAAGATGAGGACGGGCGTTGAGTAACGAGCTTGAGCACTGCAGCTTAGTGACGACGGCGCAGGTGAGCGTCTATTTCAAGGAGCAGTTGAAACCAATTTCGATCTAGACCAAAACATATTGAAGAACTATTCGTGTTATTTCTTTGACAATCGGTAGTGCATGTAGCTATGGCAAATGCTAGTCGTAGTCGATCTCGGGGTTGACAGAGTCAAGTGCTGGCGATCCATAGTTTGTGAAGAGTGCGTACTGGTAAACCAAGTGCGGAATGGACGGTTTGAACGTTTGCGAGCGGCATCCTAGTAATTCGTATATCATAGTCGCGTTCTCTTCTACCGGAACAACCATGTGAGTAGAATAGTCAACTATCATTATCTCAGATTTCTGCTTACCTATGGTGGTGAGGAGAATTTTACTGTCCTTCGAACGCAGTAGTAGCTTGACAGCTTTCGCATAGAGCTCCCAAACTTCCCTAGTGATGAAAGGAGGGTCGACTATGACGAAATCGAAGGAGTTGACCAGCTTCGTTGGGATCTCCTTGGGTTTGTTAAAGTCGAAAGGGACAAAATGTTCTCCTTCGGATGCGAATTTGGAGTCGAACTGGAAAACACCAACATACAATGGTCAACATGGAATGGCAATCTCTACTTGAATTGGTGAAATGTACACACGTCAAACAGAAAACATTCGCGTTGGTTTGAGTCGTCGTTCTGCTGTGACTGTACCGCAAAGTAGACACTCGGAGTCGACAAAAAGGCAATGCGGCCACTTTCCGGTGTCTCTACGATGGCTTCCTTGGCAAGCGTAGCGACAGTATCCACTGAGTACCAGTATTGATTCAAAGCCTCTTTCTACAAAAACGTATCAGCCGGGTTAGTTTGCTCGCAGCAACACCGGTAAGGTATGAAGGTGATCTGTGTACATACCTCCGGAAACTTCTGCCAGAATGTACGTGCACGGCGTGTCTGAGTAGCTACGTTGCAGTCCTTCATTGCGCCAACGCTCCCACTTCAAAACTGCTTCGTGGCATTCGAACGGACGTCAAGCGGATCGAAGCATCGCACGAACAAGAAACGGTTTTAGAATGCCTTTTCTACAAATTGATCTCATTTCTTAAACCCAACGTATTGTTCATTCTAATCTACTTTTTCGAAATGGCCACACACAGTGATCACGTCATGAGTTAACTGTTCGATCGTCCTGGCGATCGCACCAAACCGACACGGAAAAGCTGGTCCAGAACGGTGCTTGATGACTCTCTCTTGATCGATCCTCTAGAAGAACGCGACAACGACGGTGATGGCGTCGTATCTTCCCTGATTGGGGAACTGTTGCCAGAACGCTCAAGAGAAATGGTACGGACCAGCTCCTCGGACTCGAACGTTTTGCACTCCAACACACTTTCAACCAACGCTCGTTGGAGCCGCTGGTACGAGGAATTTTTCTCGCATCCACCCACGCACGCACACGTTCCGCCGTATTCTACCGGCAAATTATCAGCGTCGATGAATTCCAGCAACGTCGCAGCAGTCTCACTCTCTGTCAGAATGTTAGTCTTCGCGCGTGTGGCCTCGTTCAACAGCGGCTTCACACCTTTCCACGCCATTCCGAACCAAGACGGCACATTCACGATGAAAATCTTGAACGACCGCTGCGGATAATGCCGCTGCATCACACCCGTGCAACGACGGATGAACTCGAACACTTCTCCGCCCATATCGCGCATGCCGATGCCTCGCGCGTCTAGAATGATGCACATCTTCTGCGTCTCACTTGCAGCACACGCGTCACACGGACAGATTTGATGCGCCGCGTACTTGAGCGTGAACTCCATGGCGAATAAATAGTGTTTGAAGAGTGTGTCCTGTGAGACTCCGAGTTTCTTAAGTTGCGGGATGTTGATCGAACCGACCTTCTCAATGTACAGAGGATGGCCAAGTTTGTCGTGCTTGTGGAGGAACTGCGTGTAGTGCCTAAAGCAGCAAATAAGTGGCAAAGAACAATGTTATTCATGCATCGCAATGGGTGAGCCGGGGAGCTCACGTACGTCTTGATGGTGTCGTAGTGCGCCTGCGGCGTCGTGAGGATGTTGTCGACCTTCATCTGCTTCCTCCATGCCATCGTAGCTCGGTAACGCTCCATCGCCTTGGCGACGTTACCATTCTCCGCTACCAGGAACGCCGACGGAATCTCCTTCCTCTGGTTATTACTTGCGGCGTCTGCTTTGCCTATCCGACCTGAATGTGAGCCTTTCTGATCAACACCACAAGCAGCGGATTCGTAAGCACGTGCTGAACGTATCGGCTACCAATTGGCGCTGTACTAACCTCATGCACCTTGTGCCACAACATGCGCGCAGTGCTGCTCCCAGTTGTCCTTGGTCTGATTCTTGGCAACTGAGTTTTTTTTAATGAAGTTTTGCACTTGCCAAAAGGTGCCAAAAGAGTTTGCCAAAGAAACGATTCAAACGTTTTTTACATTTTTTCACACGGGTACGTCACTATCTATCATGGCGTCTTGACGTTCACTCCGTCGCATTTGTCGGCTGGTTGTCGATGTCTGGACTGGCTTCCTGTTTGGCGCGAGGTGACACAATGGGCGAGCGCTCGGGGCTCACAGCCGGCGGTGTCTTGAGCTTCAACTGGTCGATCGTCGCTGCAATAGCGTCCACCCAGTTGTTCAGCACGTACGCCGTGGGGGCGTAAAGCAGGAGTGAATGTCCATTGGCAGCCATCTGCGGAGTGATGATCTCAAAGCTGTTGTTCTGCTTGGTCGTCTTCTGCACGACCGTATCATGTGTCAACGACACAATTTGATAAATCTCCGAGTCCAAACTCTTGGCAAAGCGTAGAAATCGGGGGTGCAGGATGAAAAGTTGCCGATGCCAGATGGGGTTGAACTGCTTGTGACGTAGTGAACGCTTCAGCAGATACCCGGCTTTTAGAACCTCTTCGCTAAAGTATCCGGCGGGAATGGAGCGACAAAATCCTTCATCATCTACGCCGTCAAGCGTAAAGCCATCGTCACAGCTACTTCCAAGACGAAAGAGTTGGTCCAGCACAGCAGCAGCAGACGTCTCGCGCTTGATTGGTCCCATCAGAGGTGGCGACGATGCCGGGGTCTCTGTCGATACATCACCTTCACTGCTTGATCTACTCTCTCCAGCACGTTCACGCTCGATCTGCTGGATTAATTCGTCTGATTCGAACGGCTTACACTCTTGTACACTCTTGACAAGCGCTTGTTGAAGAAGTTGATATGATGAATTATTCTCGCATCCACCCACGCACGCACACGTTCCGCCGTATTCTACCGGCAAATTATCAGCGTCGATGAATTCCAGCAACGTCGCAGCAGTCTCACTCTCTGTCAGAATGTTAGTCTTCGCGCGTGTGGCCTCGTTCAACAGCGGCTTCACACCTTTCCACGCCATTCCGAACCAAGACGGCACATTCACGATGAAAATCTTGAACGACCGCTGCGGATAATGCCGCTGCATCACACCCGTGCAACGACGGATGAACTCGAACACTTCTCCGCCCATATCGCGCATGCCGATGCCTCGCGCGTCCAGAATGATGCACATCTTCTGCGTCTCACTTGCAGCACACGCGTCACACGGACAGATTTGATGCGCCGCGTACTTGAGCGTGAACTCCATGGCGAATAAATAGTGTTTGAAGAGTGTGTCCTGTGAGACTCCGAGTTTCTTAAGTTGCGGGATGTTGATCGAACCGACCTTCTCAATATACAGAGGATGGCCAAGTTTGTCGTGCTTGTGGAGGAACTGCGTGTAATTTCTGTACAAGACCACAAGTTAGAAATTAAAACAACATCCAGAGTGTCTACGTGTACGTACGCTTTGATTGTGTCATAGTGCGTTTGTGGCATGGATAGAATGGAATCTGCCATCACTTCCTTCCTCCACGCCAGCGTGGCCTCATACCGCTCAGTCGCCTTGATAACATCGCCACTTTCTGCAACCAGGAAGGCACGTGGGACTTTCATTGACGCCATCTTCTGTAGTGACTTCATTTCACTATCGATTTTCTCCAGTCGTTCCGACTCTGAGGCTTCTAGCGCCACGACCGTAAAGTTCCAGTTTCCAAGAAAGTAGCGTGAATGCTCTTCATCCGCCGGTTTTAACTGCCTGGCCGTGACCACCTTGCCAGGGAAGAATACTTCGACCAAAAACACCACAATAGCAGCAACAAGACCAACGTAGATAGCGGGGAGAACCACCATCGACCCAAACACGTGTGTGAACACCGACGCTGCAGCCAAATACGCAAGAACGATACCACACGAAAGCTTGAAAATCTGCCGATAAGTGCCTCGGAATGTGCCTCGAATATCCACTTTCTTTCGACCCAACGCGCGGGTAGCACGAACAAGAACACGCATGGGGCGCTTTCCATTGAGCACCACACGATAAAATGCCCGACCTTCATGCTTCAAGAACCGCTCGCACGGTACACGCACCCGTCCGCCGTCTGAGAAGCGTAGTACCAATACCATCGAGCGACGTACGTCCTGTAGTAACAGCGGACTGCCAACTTCGACGTCCGTTCTCGTGGACACCAACACCCGAGCACTTGAAGTCTGCAGTGCATTCTCATTTGCTCTCTTGACGTCCATATCCGGGTCGTTAATGTTTAAATCCTCCTTCTTAACGTCCTTAAGATCGATCGCCTTGATTGTAGGGAGTTCCTGGCCGTGCATCTCGAACAAAATCGTTTTGCCACGACCGTCACATCGTAGGAATCCTCCCTGCACTGGTGCCGACTCCTGCTGTTTGCTAAAGTGCGTGATAACGCGGTTAAACTTGGATCGCACTCGGTTCGAGTCTGCCACGTCGATGATGATGTTGCGGTCCCCATAATACATAACCTTGCCCATCGTCCGTAACGCAGCTGTAGCCAAATGCAGTTCCACTTGAGTCGGTTTACCGAACGTCGTTTCCGCCATCGTCTTGGTCGTCTTGGCTAAATTACTGAAAAATAGGAAATTATCTTCTTCATCGGACGACTCCGAGCTGCCGTCGTCTCCTTCTTCTCCTGTCTGGAGCTGGTAGAACGACAAGTACATTTCACCCGGCGTATTGGCTTCTTTTGGACCAAAGCACCCATTTTTGGTACTGGGGCCGACGCCCATTTTGTTGTTCCAGACTCGTCCGTCAGCATCCACGAGCACCACGACGTCTCCGTAGCTTACGGGCGTTCCGACGCCCAGTCCGCAGTAGGACAAAATGACAAACGTTGAAGGTTTAAACTGCTTGGCTCCACATGCAGCAATGGGTGGAATGCAGGCCAGTTCGTCCTGCTTCTGCGGGTTCTTGGAGGCCAGGAACCGCTTATTGCCTTCGAATGTACCCACATATCCCCCCGAGTCCTCGACGCAGGCGTATTTACTGCGTGCAAAGAGGCGGATCGTGTCGCCGTACCGCACTGCCACATGGGGCGGCGCGCTCTTGGAAATTGTATCCAATGGCATGGAGCCATGCACCGCTACGTCATGCTTGGGATACACTGGAGGGTTGAACGTGGGCGTCGTGCGGGTGGCTGTTCGCGGACGGATCTCCACGGGGGCGGGCGGCGTGTCCATGGCGCTGCTGCTGTCTCCGCTGGCGCTGGAGCTGCGACGGAAGCCGATACTGATGCCGCCACGTCCGCTACCGTCCTCGTCGGGCTTGGTACGCCGCCGCCGAGAGCGCAGCGACACGCCCGAGAAGAGCGCGTTGCCGTTGGGCGGCGCGGTCACGCCCTTCATGGCGCCCAGGAGCTGCATCGATCGGGACGGATTTCACTGTGAGTGCGTCGTTGCCCTTGTGTCAGCTCTCTCCCGACTAGTTTTTTACCGCACGCGATGTGCACTCGAATAAGAATTTAAAATTTATAACCTTAAGTATATAATGGATCAGTATGGTTGAATGAAATAGAAAAGAATGTCATTAGTGTTCTAATAATTAATTAACGGCTGATGACAAAATGTGCTTCATTTCGCACATGATACGGTAAGGCTGTGACGGTTTTCAGCTGGTCAGAACCGGGACGATTCCTGTGACGTGTGGCTGATGAATTGTGGCTCGAGATCGATGAACGCGTCTGTTGCTCATCGTCACGAAGGCGCTACAATTTTCGCGGCGTGGAGCCACGCGCGCCGACGTCGTGGTGGCGGAGAGTGCTGCGACGTTGTGTTATCTTGTTGGCGGATGGCTGAGCAGTGAGCCGCTTTACGTATCTACCTATCGAACTTCGAGTACATGGCTTCAGCTTCCTCTCGTCGCCGCCTCAGTTGAATGGGATTTTGGCCACTATATCCGATGCTTTGGCCTCCACATATTCCCACGTACAGAAAGCGTAGAATAGTGTACGAAGGAGAGAGCGCATTCCGCTCCAAAGAAAACACGATCGCATTATCGTTGCGACTCGCAGTAGCTTGGAGCTTTGTCATCACGTTTAGGTGTTGCCGACGTCTTCGCAACAACTGCAAGAGCTACCGATTCGGGATCTTTGCTACCGATGGAGTGAAATGACCAGCTGCGATGTGTATCGAGAACAACCAACGCCGCTACTTGTTCCAATTTGGCAGGACATCGTGAGGATCACTTTACAAAGTACACATGTTGGACTCCAGCGTGGAGAAGTTGACAAAAGGCCACCTTCCTGATAAACAGCGTCGTTAAGCTGTAGTTGTTGTCACAATGTGGCTGTGATCTTGTCCAGTAAAGCTGTTTTACTCATGCATAAGAAGAAGGAAGAGGGTGCCTGTTCAATCAAACGAGCTCGCGCTATCATATCGATAAAATCAAATCACATGTATGGGTGGGTGGGATGACTATGCAAGGCCAGGCAACGAGACGACTCTCGCTGCTTAAGTCAGTCGAGAGTCTGCCCGTTGTTCGAGCGCTCCTCCTACTTCCGGGGCGGCGTCGCCGGACGTTGCGTACCCAGCCCGTTGTAAGCGTAACGCTGCTTCTTCTCGGCTGGCTTGAGGATCTGGAACGAACACATAAGCGTCTCATCCACCGACATCATCGCGCCGGCGTTGTCGAACTCGCCACAGTAGTTAGGTGCCGAGAACAGCGTGACCAGCTGACGCTTGGCGAAGAATTCATAGCCATCCTCCACCACCTGATGAGCTCGGCAGATCAAGTCGAGGTCGTGGCGCTTGAGGAACTGGCTCACAATATCCGGACCGAACGTGAACGACACACCGCGGTCGTTCTCTCCCCAGCCCATAATGTCCTTGTCCGGGTCGGACCACAGCAGATCGCAGAGCAGACCCGTATCGGGGACGTCTGTGGGGCGCACGAACCGCTTGATCTGTTCCATCTGACTAAGCTCGGGGGATAGACCGCCGTGCATGCAGAAGATCTTCTCATCCACAATAGCAGCCACAGGCAGGCAGTTAAAACAGTCCGTGAAGGTCTTCCAGAGCTTGATGTTGTAGCGGCGCTTGCATTCATCGTAGAAACCGTAGATTCGGTTGATCGAAGCGCACTCGTGATTGCCACGCAGGATGAAAAAGTTCTCTGGGTACTTGATCTTGTAAGCCAGCAGCAGGCAGATGGTCTCCAGACTCTGTTTGCCACGGTCCACGTAGTCTCTGTATAAGAACAGAATAAGTCAGATTTCTCCTCTCAGCCGCAAAATCTAACGCATCGCTAGTAACTAACCCGAGGAACAGGTAGTTGGCGTCCGGGGGGAAGCCGCCGTACTCGAACAGACGCAGCAGGTCATAGTATTGACCGTGGATGTCACCTGTAGCGCGCAGAAACAGCGTTAGCGAGCTCGTTCCAGCGGATATACGCCCCCTCCTGTCCAGCGACCTTTTCAGGGGCCTAAACGATGTCGTAACGCACCGCAAATCTTGATGGGCGCCTCCAGCTCCACCAGAATGGGCTGCGCCAGGAAAACCTCGCGCGCGTGCAGGCACAGCCCGCGGATCTCGGTCTCCGTGAGGTTCACCTGCTTGCCGGGGCGCGCGCCGCGCACGCTCAGCAGCTTCTCGATGATGCTGTCCACGTCGATGGGCTCTAGTCCGGACGAAGCCATGGCTCTCTGCTTGCGTTGCTTCTCTGCCTTTCCTTCTTCGGTCTGGGCGGGACTGTAGGCGCCAGTCCCCCCACCTGGATGTTTCGCGAAACCCTCTCCGATTGGATGTAAAAGGATGATTTCCGAAACAAATTACGCGGTTTTGGCCAATTGACACACACGAAAAATAGCAAAATTACAGCTGTTTCGAGGGGCCACACAGCAACTTTCCAGTCACTTCACTAAGGCCGATGCAATGAGGAAAGGTTGGCGCAGTCACAGCTAAGATGACGCAGGCACCGCTACTTAATGAATGCGACCGCGAAGTTTGCCGCGTAAACTATAGGGGGTTAGCTGTAGAGTCTACTGTCTGCAGTCGATGCATAATTGCCGAGCGGTGGCAACGTTGCCGTGGCAAACCGACAAATGCGACACTGTTGGCCACAGTGTGGCGTGCCAAAATGCTGGCTGGCGCGATATATTTTTCTTGTCGCCAGGGTTGTCAGCGATGAGTCCACCACCGGAAGCAGTATTTCTGTTCTGTATAATAGCAGCTTGGTTGCCGCCACAGGGGCAATAATTGGTAGGCAGCTTCGATAATTATTGCTGCAGCAAAGTCTGATAAATCACAATCACACGAAATCATTAGAAACCTTGGTAAATTAGCACTTTTCCGCTCTGAAACTGCAATGAAAATATTGCATGCGATCTTGGCATAGTTTACATAAGACTGTCTCCTCTTCAGTACGTAGTAGTGTATTTCGAATTTCACTTTCACAATTATTTTTTGACCGAATTGCTCCGGCTGGATTCATCGTTAAGGGAAAGGCCGAGGGGCACATAAGGAGAAAAAGGGGGCAGAGCAAGCAAACAGCTCCACATCTGCGTTGGCAGCTCAAGCCGCGCGTCGGACCCTCCCCTGCTCTACTTCGCGCTCGCCTCCGTCTCTCAAGCGTAGCCTGCCGCACGAGTACCATGGTGTAAGTTACGTCGTGCTCACCACCCCACAGTGGCCACCGTCTCTAATTCCCTTCGCACTGTGTCTCTTTGCTCATGTTCGGCAACCGCAGGGAAGACAAGAAGCGGAAGCCCTCGCGCGACTTTCCGGCGCACGCACAGGTGCCCGTGGGCAAGGTCCACCCCAATGGGGTCTCCTCCAAGTGAGTAACCTACATCAGTAACACCTTATAATCGCACTAACCGACTGTCGAAACCTTAGAGTACGCGTGGAGCTCAACACTATGGCGCCGTCCGTGCCGCCCATGCATGACCCGTTCCATATCCTCAACTTTGACGGGGACGACACCAGCCGCTCCATGCCTCGCACAGGCTCCGTCATGTCCGTGGATTCCGTCTCCTCCGTGTTATCAGTAGACGATTCTTTCCAGTTTACAGGTGACGGTGACGAGGACGAGGAAGATGTGGCCAAACTACCAAAAGATCAGCGACCAGCTCAGCCAGCGGACGAACGCGAGTACTTTGAGCGGATGTGGGCCGAGAACTTCAAGAACTCGGAGGCGCAGGTCAACAGCACGACTGGATATTTACCAGTCGGTGCTGCTGGTCGGTTGAACCGCATTAAAGGGTTCTCCTTTGCACGAGACCAGGTGTCACACAAACTCTACGCTGTTTTTCGACTGGAAATCGAGTGCATTGTCAGTGAAAAGCAATGGACGATTTATCGACGTTTCCACGACTTTAAACAGCTCGCGCATCAATTAAAAAACGAATCGGTACGGGTTTCAGCGGTGCCTACCCGCACGTTAATGCGCTCATTGGACCCGAACTTCCTCCGTAAGCGCCAGTTGGAGCTGGACAGGTGGCTGCGTGAAGTGTTGATGCTGATCAGCCTCGAGAACTGCAAAGTGGACACAGACCGATACCATGAATGCTGTGGGAACCGCGGCTTCCATGCCAGTGTACGTCTTATCCGCCATTTTCTCACGCACAAAGCCAACGAACCACCAGTATTCGAGGAATCCGCTGCGTTTTCGTCTGGATCGAATGTTTTATCCAACTCGTCTAGCGGATTTTCGTTTTCAAATTCTGGTTCAGGAAGACCACCACTGTTTAGCACATCAGAGCAAAAGACCGACTCCGAGTCGATGTCGTATGAGGTGGAGGAAGGTGGTGGTAGTTCACGTGGTCGGAGAATTCGCGTTGGTTCGGCAGACCAGCTACCTACAAGCTCACGTGGCGGCAGGATCCGTGTGGACTCGACCGATTCGACTAGTTCTCGTAGTGGAAGAGCACGCGGAGTCTCAGCTGACCACGGATCAAGTTCACGTGGAGAACGGGCGCGTGTGAAGTCGTTACCTAAAGAGGAGCCGATGGATGACGGTCGGGAAGCTCCTTTCAATGCGTCCACAGTGGCAGAGCAGCGACGAAGTGTGATCCTTCAGGATGTTGATGACGAAGATGAAGATTATGATGAGCACAGCTCCAGAAGAGGAAGCAACAAGGTCTCGCTGAAGCACTTTGACGTGTTACGTATGATCGGCAAGGGATCATTCGGCAAGGTGTTGCTGGTGCGGAAGAAGCATTCGTCTCAGTTGTTCGCCGTCAAGATTCTGAGTAAACCTGCCATTGTGAAGAAGCAGCAAGTAGAGCACACCAGGACAGAACGTCGTGTGTTGGCCTCAGTATCACACCCGTTCGTGGTCTGTCTCCACTACGCTTTCCAGACAAAGGACAAACTGTATTTCGTACTGGATTACTGTCCAGGTGGAGACTTGTTCTTCCATCTCAGTCGATGTGGATGCTTCCCCGAGGCCATGGCCAAATTTTATGCTGCTGAGATCGTTCTGGCGCTGATCCATTTGCACGAACAAGGTATCGTGTACCGAGATCTCAAGCCAGAAAACATTATGCTGGATGTGGATGGTCATGTGAAGCTCGCAGACTTTGGTTTGGCCAAGGAAGGGATTACTAGTGAACTCAATGGGACGTACACAATGTGTGGTACACCCGAGTATCTGCCACCTGAGATTCTGAACCGTGCTGGTCATGGCACAGCTGTGGACTGGTGGAATCTGGGTATGGTGCTGTACGAAATGCTGACGGGAAGACCGCCATGGTACACACAAGACCGTCAGGAGCTATTCAATCGTCTCCGTGGAGCTGAGCTTGAGTTCCCGCAGGGATTAACGCCTGAGGCTATGAACCTCATCGAAGGTCTACTCATGCGTGACCCTGCCAAGCGTCTCGGGGCTATCGATGTCCGTGAGATCACGTATCACCCGTTCTTTGCGGAAATCGACTGGAACTTGCTATATAATCGCCAGGTGCAGCCTCTGTATCGCCCGTGCCAGTACACTGACCCGATTGATGCTGCTAATTTTGAGGAGGAGTTTACCAAGCTGCCACTAGCCCAAATTGATAGTGCTGGTCTCAGTGTTGCTACAAGTGAACTGCAAGAAAAGAGCGGCAACGATGGAGCGTCTGGAAGAGACCCGGCCGACAATGTGGCTGCTGCTGCTGAAGCAGCGGGAATTGCAGGTATGCCCAATGGCATTGCTGGCAGCACTGGTACGAGCATTAGCAGCAGCGAGCGCAATAGCACGCTACGGAACTTATCGTACACTTTTGCTGGCTTCACGTACGACGGGACCAATCCGTCCATCGCGAGGTCGGGCAGTTTCGCGCAATCCTCTCGATCAAGTTACATGAACGGCGAATGAGCTTGATACATTATAAATTCAAGAGCTGGATGCCACTACACAAATTGATTTCTTCAGGTCGGAAGCAGATCCTGAAGTTTCTGAGTGCAAAGAATGTAATTAATCGTCATGTTCTACTCGTTCTTGTGTGTAAGCATTGGAGTGGAGTCTTGGCTTTAGTTGTTCGATGCAGCAAACGTGGCACACTCCACCGTGTTCTTGAGCAGCATGGCGATCGTCATGGGGCCAATACCACCAGGCACGGGAGTGATAGCAGAGACGCGCTCACTAGCAGCAGCAAAGTCCACGTCGCCCAGAATCTTGTATCCCTTCTTACTGGTAGCGTCGTCCACGTAGTTGATACCAACATCCACGACCACGGCTCCTTCAGCCAGCCAGTCGCCCTTCACTAGTTCCGGTTGGCCAGTTCCAACGAAAACAACCTCTGCCTGCCGGACCTTGTCTGCCAAGTTTTTGGTCTTCGAGTGGCAAGTAGTCACCGTTGCATTAGCAGCAAGCAGCATAAGCGACAGAGGCAGACCGACGAGCTGTCCGCGGCCGATGACGACCACGTCCTTGCCCGCCAGCTCGATGCCGTTACGAGATAGGATCTCTAGACAACCCGCAGGCGTGCAAGGCTGCAGCTGCAGCGTCTTAACTGATCCGTCCTCTTTCTTCTTAGGCTCTGCTAGCCGCGCAAAATGGTGCGAGTGCAGTCCGTCGACGTCCTTAAATGGACTAATTGTCTCCAGTAGCTCCTCCTCGTGAGGCTTCAAGTGGTCAGGCAGCGGCAATTGCAATAAGATGCCGTGGACATTGATATCGGTGTTGAGTGACTGGATCAGAGCCAGCAGCTCCGCGAATTCGATGGACTCGGCAAGCTCATGCACCTGCGGCATGATACCTACGCGCGTGCAGGCGTTCTTTTTGAGCCGAACATACGTCTTGGAATCCTGGTTGGTGCCGATGAGCAGCAACGCCAGAGTGGGTGTCACGCTGAGCGTCGGGACCAGCTCCTTGAGCTCGGCCTCAATCTCCTTGCTGCACGCCTTGCCGTCCAAGAGCTTCACCATGATGCAATGATGATGAATGGTACGCGATCGAGGATGGGATATGCTGGAAGACAGGATTTCATAATATCAGTAAGCTGTTGAAGAAAACTTAATCTAAGTACTGATAGAATTGATGAAGTGCTTTGTATCGTCCACGTAGGCTCAGCGTTAAAGCTACTAGCAGATGAAGTGAGGCACGCGGATATATCCGATGAGGAATGGTTAGCCGCTCAGTTTTGCTTTCAGGAACAAAGAATTACCAGGTATGCACCCTGATAAAAAATGATTCCTTACAGTTTAAAAATCGGAGATGACCACTTGACGTTAATATGTGCGGGGCTATCTCGTCCACGGTAAGATACTAGTTTACCAACCACAGCAGTCCAGTACCTTCCTTCAGTGAATTGACGGGGCCTCCATTTCATCACGATTACAATGTAAAAAAAAAAGTTGAGCTTACATGTTAATGCAATGATGGAATTGCATTTCAAATCGCATCTAAAAATGTCAAGGCGCGGCAGGCAGCGAATCGCGTTTCCAATGATTTTAGACACTGTCGCTTTCCTGAACCTACAGACTCCAGAAGCTCCTGATCTGCACCACTGTGGCAAGGAAAAAAAACAATGGGTTTATCCGCCGGGAATGTATAGCAATCAAAAAGAGAGATTGCATGAAAGCTAGATATTGCAATACCCAACAGGAGTGAAAACTACAACACTCAACTGCAGCACTGATCTACAAAAAATCGTTGCTATCCTCACTCATCAGCGTGTGCCTACGAACTCCATCAGCTCACGGTGGGACTGGGCCGTGTAAAACTTCTCGTCCAGAGGAGGAGAAAAACCTGGCAATACCTCGAGGCATTTGCTGTCCATCAGGCAAGGGAGAAAATCAATTTGCATCGATTTCTTGGATTATGCCCTAATGCAGTTTACATTGCAGCTAGTTTTTTTTTAGTGCAACTGAGTATTGTAATCGGCGGGGATAATGCAATTGGGTATTTCAATTCTATAGTGCAATACTTCACCTCAACATTACTTCTAGCTCACCTCGCTCTATATTGAGGTTCGACAAGCACCGGAGCCCCGGTGCATTATTTCGGGCGAGACGACAACTACTATTAGGAACTACAAGAACACAAACGATTGTGAATGATGCAGACAACAACCAGCATAAGAGGGCTTGCACTTCTTGAGGGAGCAACTGTGGTCCTTAAGATATTGTTAAACTCTGCCAAGTACGTCATCCCCCAATTTATTTTTCCCTTGCCTGCTGTCCATGTACACTGCAAATACTGCTATGTAGCGCGTAATGAAGTATGTGGGCCGGAGTAAATGCCGTGAGATGTTATGCCAACGCTACAGCTGCTACATTTAGCCGTGCTAATAAAGCGATAAAACCTTGAAGAAATATCTAGAAGTACGTTTAAGTGAAGTATTGCAGTTTTAAACTGCAATGCCCAATTACATGAACCCCACGGTTTGTAATACTTAAGTGCATTCGAAAAGCTAACTACAGTGTAAACAGCAATTGAGCGTTCTATAAGTAATCGATGCAAATGGATTTTTTTCTTGCCTGCCTCTGTGAGGCCAGGAAAAATCTCATCGACGTAGTTCCTAACGCCCGCAAGATGGCCTCTGGCAGAGAGAAGCAAGGGAAAAGAAGCAAATAGATACGACTCGACGCATACGGAAGTTGAGGCACTACACCGCGGAACGTGTTCACAACACGAAAAGCGCTATTCTAAAAAAAAGTGCAATAATCAGTTGTTTCCTTGGACTATAATAATCCTGCTCCACTGAGCTCCACCCGTTCCCCTCCTAAGAATAAAGTAAGGAACACGTAACTTTAGCCAAGTTAGTTTGAAAACGAAATATAAACCTTCTCAGGAGATTTTTCGTGATTCAATGGGGCAAACCAAACTAAGTACACTCCAGTCTTGTAAACTAGCAAACTCCAAAAGTAACGCCACGTGTGAGTTCCACGTTTGTCGGACAACCGTACTCCCCCCTCCACATCCAATGAGGACACACCTAGCCAAAATGACACAGCACGGCCATCACATCTCCAACATTACGAAAGACGGACTCAATAAAGAAGTCACTTCAACTCTTGGATATAATTGTTAATTTTGAGGATTAGTATTTTTTGGCATAAAAGATAAAAAAAACTCAATGCTGCAGCGTCACAGCATCATGGTTGCCCCCTATCGATTCAGATCACAACAACGGAAGCAACTCTGCTCCCAAACGACTGCTTCTTCGATTCCAGTTGTACCTCCCTCTCGCGTGTGCAACTTGCATGGAGTCGCGTTGGGTGAAGTGGTCGTTGGCTCTCGAGTTGTTTGCTCGAAACTGATGGCCATTTGCTTACGATTGAAATTCTGCCCTCCAGCCGTGCGCAAACGTATTTATCACAGCTGTACTTGTGCTATCCAGCGTCTGGTCTGGGGCAGCATATTATGCTGCCTTGCATTAGAGGGCATTCAATGAACGTTATGAACGCTATGAGCGCTGAAAAGTTTGCGATGAGGGTCACGGAGGTTAAGATGACGAGACGTTAATAACATCAGCTGTGCGGTACCTTTCCACCAGCAGGTACGTGTCATGTGGCATGCATGACTCATGCCAGTCAAGACGTTCAAGTCGACTACACCAATTGGTGGTGACAATACCACTGGCACGAACCCACTGTGCGAGTTCGGAATCGGCTGATATGATAGCAATGATATCTACTACGCCGTTGTGGTACTCTATTGCTGTGCACACGAGAGATAATGGGGTGCTAAAAATGCACCAACCACCCCAGGCTTAGGTGCGATCGGCATTGCAGACGCAAGCCTTAAGTTAAGGATATGTCGAAATTGCCAGCAACAGATGCCTACGACGGTATCCGCTAGCTGTTCGGATCGAACTTCAATGGGGTCGTGTATAAACCGCAGCGTTTCAATGAAATGGAGTGGGCTTGTGAATCACAGTGGAGGTATCATCATGATGAACTTTTCCGACAAACCATCTGCGTGAAGAGTCTTCCGTGGAGACTTCCAAAGGCTCGCCGATTAGTAGGCAGCTTCACTGCTGCCCGGCTCCACTGTCCTGATAGCGTCAGCCGCCTACTGATCGATATCGCGTCTTTGTCTGGAATGAAGGCGCTCAGCTCTTTTACATGGACCTGGAGCAGAGTTCAGCATTGACAGTGCCAACCGATTCATGCCCGTTTCACTCATTTTCTTTCATTGCGGTTTTCACTCGAACCAGCACAAGTTCACGTTCTCTCCGTATCCATTCGAACAGCAAGTGACCATGTTGCAGCAACTCGCTCTCGCCACCATCATTTTTCAAGCCGTCATCATCTCGCGGACTGCCGGTCATGGCAACATCATCGTCCCCAAACCTGAAGGCAACGCTGAGCACCCTTACTACATCGGTGGCCCCGCTGGCACCATCGACAAACCCGAGATCATCGGCTCTGCCTCTTATGGAGACTACTACCAGGCCGTAGACGACTGGTTTACTAAAAACAATGTGGCCAGCCTCAAAGAGTTTATCACCACGTACGGCACGGACATCTCCGAGTGTGGCAACACTGAAAAGAAAGGCACGGCTCAACCTGTGCCATCCGACGGCTACGCACAGCACGACACGCTCGGCAACTCGCACCCAGGTCCGTGTGAGATCTGGTGCGATGACACTCGTGTTTTCCATGACACCAACTGCGTGGTGACATTTTCAGGCCAGTCCCCGGCAAAGATCCCCATCGACGTGAGTACTTGCAAATCATCGTCAGAGTTCGTCTTCTACTGGCTGGCACTGCACGCTCAGCCGTGGCAAGTATACATCAATTGTGTGGCTCTCGATGGTACGTCGGCTGCCAGCACAGGCAGTTCTTCTAATTCGACTTCAGCTTCGACAACGACAGCAACCACTACGGCTCCCACAACGACTACCACACCAGAGTTAGACGAAGCAAGTGAAGGCGGTGAGGCATCCGCGAAGGAAGAAACGACGGAGGCCCCCGTCACCACGAGTGCACCCGAAACGGAAGCTCCTGCCGCTGAAGCTTCGGCCCCGTCGACGTCTGCATCCAAGTGCATTCGCCGCCGCACGTGAAGACTGAGTCGCTTGTGTGAAGTGCAGTGAGTATAGTTGTCTCAATTTAAATGGAATGAAGTGCTTACTTTTCATTCAATTGTCTTCGATTCTTTGCTCATGCAATCTCGTTTAATGTCACCAGCACAGTTCACAAGAACGCGGGGCGCCGTTTCCGACGGACTATATTACTAGAATGATTGCAAAGGCGGAGCTTTAGCGCCGTGAATTCTTGAGCCGGCTCAGATTTTTTTTTTTTTTTAGCTTTCTCATAACTGCTGGTCAATTGCCGTTATCAGATTGCGTTGATTTGCATATGAAGAGCAAAAGCCCTGCGAGTACGAATACGGCAGACAGGAACAACAGTTCATTAACAATAGATTTCTGTAAATCTGATGCAAATGTGGATGACAACTTGAAACAAAAGTTTTCCGGGAAAAAAACTGTAAGTTTTTTTTAATCTTCTACAAAAAGTAGAGTTATGTCTGGTGATGCTAAATGTGAAAATACGTGCTTCTGTTCCATTGTGCAGGACGAGTAACACTAACGTTAGGAGAGCTACATCGGCACCAAGCCAGCTCTCCTCGCTGTCTCTAACTGTCGACTTCCAATAGCTATCGACGGTGGTGTGGTCGTACGAGGTGTTGGAAGTGTGAAGTTAGCGTTTCTTGTAGTGGAAGTAGTTGTAGTAGTTGCAGTGAGCTCTTGAGGGCAAAATGCAGAATGATATTGTTTGTTGTTTAGTTTGTTGGACCCTCGTTGTTTCTCTTTTCTTCACCTAGTGCCTTGCTCTAGGATACTTCACCTTCTTATACAAAAGACAAGTCTTGAGCTGCTTCTTCAACTCTTGATTATGGACGTGTAGATGCCGGACGTTGTCGGAGTCGGCGTGAGCTTCTGGGTTGTCGATTTGCATGTTGAAGCAGCTCTGTTACAGTTTGATGTACTGCAACACTGTGCTCGGCTGTGCGAGCACAACGTCGACGATCTCTGTGGTTGACACCATCATCCACACGTTCGTCATTCCCAACGAGGGTTGTAACTCGTGCGCCACGCCTTCCTTGTCCACGAGATCCATCAACGTCATGGGTTGTGCCGATCTTGATGACGGAAGGCTGACAATCCCCCCTCCCCCCCCGAAGAATCACGCTTGGTGCGTTGTTGCTGCTCCCGTAGCTCTTTGATAAGACGGCGCCAGTGCTCCACATGTTTTAAATTTTACTCAAGTTCCCTCGTGCACTCTGACATCGGCTCTCCCAACCACTTCACCAAGTACTCCTGCTTTCGGTTGAACTGCCTCTTCGCAACGAGCCTTCCGACGACGCGCATGCCATCGTCTTCTTCCTGATCAGGTAGTTCCACGGGGGTCTCCTTGGGCTTGGGCCGCGAGCGGAATCGCTGTGGTTGATCAGGATATGGTGCCAATAAATCCACATTGAACGAAGGATGAACGCGTCGGAACCGACTTGGTAGCTTCAGCCTCGCTACATTCTCGTTCACCATGTACTCGATCGTAAACGGTCCCACCAATCTAGCTGAAAGCTTGGCCTTGGCCAGCTCAGTGTTGTATGCCACATGCTGAAGCGAAAGATTCTCAGTCTTTAACAGCACCTGATCACCGGCTTTAAAGTCGGGTTCAGCACGGCGCTTGTCGTAGTACTACTTTTGCTTCTGTTTGGCGTCCAGTAGTGCTTGCTGAGCGCGCTCAACAATTTTTCGACGACGCTCAGCAAATTGATGAGCAAATGCAGCTCTCGTACGCCTTGAAGATGTACCACCAGCCGTTGTAATAGCACTCGGTCGCCAAGCAGTTCGGCCACAGTCGATCTCAAATGGAGTGAGCCCCGTGGAAGCGCTCACAAGGGTAGCATGAACGAACTCGACCGTTCCTAGCAACTCGGACCAGTCGGATCCGTGGATGCTCGTCATAAATCTTAGTGAGTCTTCCAAGACTCGGTTTTGTCGCTTTACTTGTCCATCACCTTGTGCTCGGTGAGCATAGTCATCCGTAGTCGAACGCCCATTAGTCGCATGAGCTCCTTCCAGAAAGCCGCCGTAAACCGAGGATCACGATCGCTTACAATGGCTTCTGGTAGACCATGATGTCGCACCACCGAGTCAAAGAAGACTCGAGCACAGTCCGCTGCTGTCGCGGTCGAATGCATCGGTGCATACTTTGCTCGCTTCGAGAGAAGATCCACAGCTACCTGAATGCAGTCGTAGCCATTCGAGACCGGTAGTCCTGTGATGTAGTCAGATCCAACATGTTGCCAGCACTCGGGCAGAAGTTCAAGAGGAATCAGTTTCCCCTTTTTCCTTCCACTCGAAACTTTGAACTTGTTTCATGTCAAGCAACTCCTTACGTAGTCATTCACATCTGCTTCGAGCTCGTTCCAGAAGTACCATTGAGACAGGTTTGCAAGCGTTCGAGGTACTCCGGGGTGTGCCATACTGTCATGAAACTCAGCAAGAAGTTGTGTTCGTAGCTCGTAGTCGTGAGGCACACACAGTGTATCCACAGCTCCATCAACTTGGCGATACACGAGACCATCCTTCCGATAAAAGTTGCCGCCACTCAAAAGCTTGGGCACTTCCTCCGTCACCGACTTGAAGTGGGGATCGCGTCGATAACCCGCAATAAATTTCAAGCGAGTCGTCGGAGATAGTGATACAGTCGTCACGTAGCGAGTAGCAGTGTTCACACGAAGCTCAACGTGCTGCTGAGATACCATGGCTCGCGGTCGACCACCATTCACCCCTCGTGACTGGCCATCCAACAGTAGATGCAAGTCGTACGAGTTGCGAGACGCTAGCTCGTTTATGATCCGGTGGCGGTCATCAACCATGTACTGAGCTTGGTGACAGGCATCCGAACATGTGTGAATGTCTACAGTGCAAACGTTAACTGTGGCGTCGTCCGAGTACTACAACTGCCCCATAACGGGATCATCAGTCTCATAATCAAACGTATCCGGTCGAGGTTGCCTCGTATCTTCTGAAATATGGCGAGATAGCGCGTCCGCCACGATGTTTTGCACTCCTTTCACGTGGTGAAGCTGAAAGTCAAATTGAGAGAAGAAGTCCAGCCATCGAGCAAGCTTCGCAGAGACAGTCGGGTGTTGGAGGAACCATCGACACGCGATATTATCCGTGTACACTAGAAAATGCCGTCCGTGTAAGTAGTGTCTCCACTTGCCAAGCGCTAGTTTAATCGCAAATAACTCCTTTTCATGCGCCGGCCAGTTTAATTCGTGCTTCCCGAGCTTCTTCGAGTAAAAAGCAATCGGGTGATCGAAGCCATGGTGTCATTGTGATAGGACCCCACCACAGCACTGCTTCGACGCGTCCGTTGTCACGACAAACGTCTCCGTAAAGTCAGGGAACCGAAGACCTGTTGTAAAGCCGCCTTGATCACCAAGCAGGCGTTTTCCTGGTACGACGTCCATTCCCACACATTATCCTTCTTGAAGAGGTCACTTAGAGGCAATACGATGTCAGCGAAGTGGTGAATGAACCTGCGATAGTAACCAGCTAATCCCAAAAAGCTCTGGAGCTCCTTGACATTCGTCGGTACTTTCCACTTCTCAATCGCATCCGTCTTACTCTTATCAACCTGTAAATCGTCACCAGAGACTGTGTGACCGAGAAATTTCACCGATGTCTGGGCGAACGAGCACTTTTCAGACCGAGCGTACAGCTTCTCACGTCGCAGTACGTCAAACACCACCCGTAGGCGCTGCTCATGCTCCTCCAGTGACGACGAGTACACGCAGATGTCATCCAGATAGACCACGACGAAGTCAAGGTGTCCGAGTAAAAGTCTCATTAGCCGTGATCAAATGCCCGGCATACCTGCAACTCCCATCGGTGCCACACACCAATGATACGTCTCGGCACCGGTGCGGCAAGCAGTGTATGGGCGGCTGGAGGGCTTCACTCTCATCTGATGGTAGCCTTGAGCAAGGTCGATCACGGTAAAAATCACTGCCAATGCCATACGATCAAACAACTCCTCGATGTTGGGCAACGGGATCTTCGGAACCAAAGTTTGGCTGTTCAGGTAACGATAGTCCACTACCCAGCGAATAGGCGATGAAGTATTCTACGAATCCACTCACTTCGACTCTGTCGTTTTCCAGTTGCCGGATCACGCTTGGGAATGCCGAACACGTTGGACACCCAAGGTGAATCACTGATCTCGATCCACTCTTTGTCAAGTAAATCGTCGACGAATAGTTGAAGAGCTTCTTGCTCCGTCTTTGAGAGGCGGAACGGAGCTCTACTGCTTGGCCGAGCATCCGATTTCAGATTGAGCTCGAATTCGACACGCCTTTCAGGTGGTAATCCAGTTGGCAGGACGTCAGGAAGAACGTCTCCATACTCTGTGAGGAGGGCTTCAATTTCCTGAGGGATGTCGCTGTGATCATGCTTTTCAGTCACCTTCACATGGTAGAAGTTGTAGTCAGCCATAACGAATGCTGCTTGTACGTCTTCTTCACTGAGAGGCACATGAAGGTTGTTGTCCGGATACACTGAGAACGATCCGTTCACCTTGATGTCGTGAGTGCGCCAGTTAATGGATGGATTGTACTTCGTCAACCATGGTTTTCCCAGAATCAAATCATGTGAGAGAGGAAGGTCATACTCAGTGAACATGACGTCGTTGTATATCATTCCATCCATCACCATATCCGCGTTCACTTCTCGATGCTTCACACCTTGGCGAACATGACCATCAAAGCTCTCCACCGAAGCAAGATGTTCCTCACCGGGCCCGTCAACGATACCGCTCCGCACCAGGTTGTGGTTAGCGCCACAGTCAATCAACGCCAATAGAGAATGTCCATTGATTGTAACTTTCTTCCGAATTAAATTGTTCGCTGTCTTGATCTTCATTGGTGCGTATACTTTAGCCATATTCAGCTGTAATTGCGGAACGACAGTGGTTCACCACCCTGCACGTCTGCCACGGTCGGCTGATTGATCTGCACTGCGTTAATACTTCTGGTGTTCGACTTGTGAAGTCGTTCATTCTTTCGGTGCGGGAGCTTTACACGACAGTCACTCATGCGATGTCCCGCTCGTTTGCAACGAAAGCATAGTCTGCGTTTACGGCATTCTTCACGACTCACGTCCTGTACGTTGACGTGATCGACCTCCATGGTATAGCCGTATTCATGAGACGTTCGTCACGATTAGGCCGAAATACTGTACGATCCGTTAGAACATGAGTGTAGGTTCGCTCGAACTCGAGTGCCACGGAGATAGCCTTCGACACACTCTAGCATCGACGGTAAGCCACCTCTTCGCGAGTCCTCGTAACAAGGCCGTGAACAACCACGTGATCTGATCGATGGAACTCATATCACAAACTTGACAAATGATCTGCCGGAATTTTGCCACGTAATCCTCCAGGTTATCGCACTGAACCTGCTTTAGTCGAAAAATTTCTGCTCGCAAGCGCTCCTGTAGATCTGGAGGAACAAAAAAATTCCGCTTGCAAAGCTTCCGCTAGATCATTCAGTGTGGCGAACTTGCCCTGGTGAAATGTGTACCACGCCGCTGCCTGGCCTATCACGTTCGTAGCCACCATCACCACCAAGCGATTCTGGTTTTCTGCAGCGTTGACTTCAATATTTTTGGCACAGAAGTACAGCTGGACCTGCTGCAAGAACACCTGCAGCGACTCGCCGATCTTGCCGTAGTAAGTTGGCACAGAAATGCCTTCAACACGTCTCTCCGTCGAGCCGTGTGGTTTCATTTTCGATTCGCAGGAGAGTCGGGAATGTCATCATTCCTTACACGCAATTCTTGAACCAATATAAATTTCATGTTAGCCCTTTCGCAAGCATTTTGCATAAACTATACTATATAAAACTATGTAATTTGCTTCTAAAAGGACGCATTTCTCGCCGTTTTACAATATCACTGTACTCGTTTAAAACCTTCTCTTGTATCAAAACATTGACGATGCTATGTTGATGTAATCAGTTATAAGAATAACACTTGATTAAAGTAATTACAGACGAGGACACTTTAATATGACACTTTAGGTTTTTCGTTAACTATGCTTTCAAATCCTAATATTTTTATCCAATCAACTGTAAAGATGTATTACAGTCCAGCTTTCTCCCAAGCCCGCTTGATGCAGCGCTCGTTGATGGCCGCCCACGCTGTCACTACCCTGTCTACAAGCAGCTTTCTCTTCTCATCTGCAGACATGCGCTTGAGCGCCAGCAGCCTCTCCCGCAGAGGAAGAAACCCATTCCTCTGGATGGAGGCTAAGTTGTAGGATAGCGTCAGCAAGCGTAGCTTCTTCTTGAACGGGCCCATGATGCCCACGTCCAGAGGTTGTAGTACAGCAGTAGTGTTTTCTGGTAGAGGTACAAGCTCTGTCCCCCACGACGCGAATGCTTCCTGCGCAATATCGGACACATGGCACTTCAGATTGTCGACGTAGATGGCTAGAGGGTCTGGGAATTCATCACAAACAAATTCTGCCCACTGACCGTTGATAAACGTTTCGTTCCAAACCCTTGTATCCATCCAGCCATTTTGTTGGACGGTTACAAGGACTTGGTTCGAGTATGCCCTCATATCACGCTCAATTGTGCCGCCTGGCTGGCCGCGGAAAATGACTAGCGGCTTTAGCTTTTTTTCCTGCCGCGGAAACGGTGAGCAGCACCCTCGCTCGATCCGAACGCTGTGCGAGTGTGCACGTCATTGGAAGCAGCTACAGCAGCGACTTTGCCGCCTGCTCTAACTTCCTCAACGACTCGAAGCTTTAGTTCTTTTGAATACGTGCTACGACGACCTTTTGATGGTAGATTCAGCTGATAGATCACCTCACCGCCACCGCTACTGTCGCTTTCAGCAGCGTCATCCTCGTCGTCGGCAGCTCCGGCACCATCGCGGATGCCCCACTGGAGCATTCGCAGCTCGAGCTCTTCCATGGCACGATTCGAAGTGAGCTCATGGCCACAAAATTGTTTTTGACATTCTATTGGCTGAAATTATTGACAAAAAACCCGTGTCATTCATTAGTGTCCGTCATATTAAAGTGTCCTCGTCTGTAATCATGATTATGAATCGTACTGTATAAGCTTTGTTGCACCAGGTTAGTTGAACTTTCTCTTGTAAAAGGGCGAAGAAATCGCCCTTTAGAGACTGATTCCTACTGTTTTTTGCGCAGACCCCTAATAGGACGAGAAATGCGCTTGTACCGCGAAAAGGTTAAAGTCAACTTCTTCACATGCTAGAATCTTGTAGCGACATTTGCAGGTTTTACCAGATGCTGCACAGCGCTGGGAGGGGGCCATACAGCGCATCCCGTGAAACACAAATTTTATTATGTATTCTTTTAGATGCCCAGGAGTTTCAATTTCGCGTGAGATACTTCGCAAATTATTGCTTTTAGTTGCCGTTACCCATCAAATGGCGAGAGCCCTCATTTTTTTTCGAGTTAGTGACATTTATTTATTTTTACAGTGAACATGCAGATTTTTTTGCGCATTGCTCACATTCATTAGTGGTGAATTCCAAAATCGTTAGTAAACAGGAAGGGTGGGCCGCAGAGTAACATATTTATGCGGCTGGCAAAAACAGAATTGGAACAGTACGTACTTCACCCACCACGCTGCTGTTAACAATGCAATACATAAGAATATTTTGATAGTTAAGAACTTTGCTGGCTTTGGTTGTTTTCAAATCGTCCAAAACGTGTAACTAATCTATCAAACAGCTTCAATTGGTAATATACTGCGAGCGAGTATCCTGTCTGGTTTGTAGGGTGCAACTACATGTTGTGAACGGCACAATGCAATTATGATTTCCTCAGCATAAAAACTCAAGTCGGAGGGCCACTGTTCTGCGCGACTGATTTCAACTACAGAAACTGTTTATCAGACAACTCAATACAGGGTAGCCATGCTGTGACAACGTTCTATGTAGTGGTAAATAATTGCTCGCGTTGTGCTGTTTTGGGGTAGTATAATATGTAGCACTACTAGTGAGCAACGGTTTGCAATTAAGTCATGCAAATTTTTATACTATGCGGTGTTGGTACTGATAATGGCGCAGTTATAGAAACATTGCTTCCACATACTAATGAGTAAATTACAGAAACTCTTCATAGTCTTTCGATGCAAATGTTTCTTTCTTATGCGCTTGTCTAGCGGATTCTACTTTATAGTACCTGGACTTATACCGATACAGAGTATCTTATTGGGTACCACAGACACTATATCGTTTCAAAGCGTTGAGTGGGTTAGAATTACCTTCTGGTACTTATTTCGTGTTGTCAGCACTATAGTGTTCGATTCGCGAGTTGCTTCAGGGTCGCGTTGCTCCGTAGCACATTTTGGGATTGCTGTTCGTAAGCTGGTGGAGGTAGAAAAAATAACAGCTTTGTTGCAAATCGTTCTTCAGTTCCGTTTTCTTTTTTTCATACACTAATATTATGCAACGCTGCTTCGTTCTCTGTTCTTGAACTCGTGCGGGAGTTATACTACTATTGGTATGAACAGCGCGAGGCTGCTATTCTTTCGTGTGTCTGCTTCAGAAAGTATGGAGCAGTTAAACCTAGATCGTAGCTGAGCATACTCTCCTTTTTACGTAACGAAAGAATCTAGAAACAAATATCAGAGATTTAGCTACGTGCGTAGTTATATTAAATTGGTAGGGGAGAGAGAGCGTCTTGGGGCTGGCGGGGAGAAAGCGAAGTTAGCTGGTCTCCCCGACCAACTGCTCCCAACCAAACGAGAGCCCATTTATAATTAATATAAATTTCTAATAAGATACCTCTAACTCAATACTATCGATTATAGTAGTCTTATGTACTTAGTACAACATACCTAAGTACATCAGGTAAATATCTGCTAGTAGAACCCGTATTCTACAGGATCCACCAAGATTCTCGCGGACCAATGAACAACAACATGTTCTGGTGCTGTAGGAGATATTGTATTGTGAATTCCGTCCAAATGTGCCGACTTGGGTCTGTTTGAGGAGCGGGAGGACAATCGCCCACTTACAAACACAAGTCATTAGTAAAACCCACCAAGTCTTTTCTTGCCACCTTATTTCGTACTTAAACGGGTCAGTATACGAAATTGTATACGCTGGGCGATTTGAGGGAGATTCATTCAAAGAACCATCCTGTCCAATTTTGAGTAGAACCCACAATACTAAAACAGAAGAAGAAAACGGCCCCAATTAGCCGCACTCATTGAACCGAGAGTCAAACAATTTTTTGACATGCCGCACAGTCCCAAATTTCATTCGAGGGGCCAATCGTCGTCGCGGTGTCGAGGTTGGTGTTGGGCGAGGCAGCTCCAGTAGCTGCTAGAAAGGCAACCAGCGTCGAAAGCACGATCAACAGTAGCGAGCACATTGTACGAAGTGGGTATCAGGCGAGGAAATCAGAAATGAACTTCCCATGGGCCTGCTCTAGAGATGACGGGGGAGATCGTTGGTGAAAAAAAAAAAACGCCAATAAGTGGGCTATCAGGCTGAGTGGTTACCGCCATCACATCCCGTAATACGGGAAACTCGTAATACGGAAAGCCGGGCCAATAAGATTAGTACAGACATCAAACGCGTGCCAGTTCATACGAAGTGGCACTATCGCACCGATCAGCGCTGGATTTTATGGATCAGCATTTGGTATCTGTAGAAATATTTATAATTTCCCTTTCTATTAAAGCCTGCCCATAAAATCGAACCCCCAGGCTCTGCTCACTACAGCATTTGGTAAAAGCCGACTTCAAAAGAGTTACTAGTAAAGTCGAAGCCGGCTTAGTATTTGTACACTTTCATTGCTTGTACGATGCAAGTCCTTCGGTTGCTGCAGGCAAGTTTTCGAATTTGTAGCTACTGCGTGTTCGTTTCAGTATGAGTATATACTTGATATTTTGATGCATCTCCTGCGCTTGCTTCACAGACGCAACATCTGCGTATAAAAATAACCTGCACTGTCACGATTTGCTTTTATTCTGCAGATCGCACTTATTGTTTTTAGACAACTAGATATTTCCGAACCAATGCTGTGACAACGTTAAGGTATTTGCTAAAATATTAATAGCAAAAGTTCAAGTAGATATACAATAATTACATATACTTCGGGTATTGGTCAAAATCTACGCGAAATCCATTTTTTTTTTTGTCTCACAATATGGCTTCATGGCTGGCTCACTAGCCGGGATATTTACTCGCGGTTCGAAGGTGGCACACACCAGACTTTTACAAATGGATTTGAGTACAATATGCAAAGCAAACAGTTTTAGGAGGAATGAGTGGGTTGGATATTTGCTGAACCGATCTCACCATTCTGTTGTACCCTCAAGGACATCTTTTCTGGTGCGTGTCTGAAGTGTAACCCCTCGAAACATTCTGCATTTCTGATCAGTTCGGTATAGAAATTCCAGCGCTAATCCCCTGCAACAGCGAGCAGATACAATTGGTACTGAAGAAATGTTTTTAGGTCAAGTTAGTGTTTGGCATGGTAGCATTACCCTTTTCCTATATTTCAGTTCTAGTGAATAATTTCTAATAGATACTTTATTTTATCTATCCTCCTCTGGATGGGGCAATCTCCGTCGAGTGGACCAAATCACAAAAAAATTAATGGATTCCGCTTTGTTACAACCGACGAGAGCTTTGTATTGCATAAACTCTGAAATGCAGGTAGCATTATGCCACTTGCATTTCAGAGCTTCTTTAGGCACGACGTTGTTTTTATAGCGCTCCAACTGACCGACCACC